AATATTACTATTAATTATATTAATATTACAATGTGGAAGCATTTGAGATGCTTCGCCCTGGGAGCAAGGAAATTCGAAAAATTCTGTATTATATATATAAGGACCACACTGATATATATATATACATGAAGTTATTTATTGTTTCTCCGAGGAATGTGAAATTAGTATATTGTAGTTTTAAATTAAGTTAATTAGTTTATAATATATCCAGATCCTATAAAATAATGTATTATTTTTCAAATAATTCTAAAATTAGAATTAAAATTTTTGTAAGTCATGTAAATTACTAATTTGTAAACAGAAAGCCAAATAAAAAAATATATACATAATACACAATTCTTTATTTATACGATTCGATACCTAATATCTCATCACTTAGCAATTTAGTTCCATATTTTTTTTAGATATTTTTATTTTATTTTATAAATGTCGTTATGTTTTTAGTGTTTTAATGTTTAATATTTTATTTCAATTTAAAAATTGTTTAAAATTTAGGTTTTGTTCTCCTTGCTATTTCGAGCGTTGGTATTAATTATTTTTGATATGATGACGCTTATCAAGTCTCGAAACGTATATATAAAAAATTGTTATATGTATATATATATATATATATATATATATATTTATATATACATATCATACATATTGATGAAACTTGCCAACACACTTTAGTACATTTTTTTAAAGGAGAGCGTCTCAAAGTCGGCCGATTTTAGAAAATTTAAATTTATAGTTTAACAAAAAAAAATCTAAATTCTTGAATACTTGTGGTGGTTTTTTATTGTGGTCTTAGAAAAGTCATTCACGGTTACGATTCCAAGGTTTAAATGAATAAACTTAATAAACTTAAAAGCTTATAATGTCCAAACAACGCGAGATATTTTTTTCTAAATTTTTCCAGGATAGTTAAGATCAATACTATCACCCTGTTTTGGCTTTAAAATAAGATCTGGAACACCCTGTATATATAATTCTATAACTTAATGTAGTCCCAAAAATTAATCAACTCTTCATTCTTTTTGACTCGTAATCGCATTGATCCATTATCTGCCTAAATTGATTAACTTTCGTATCTCATTGTAAAATATCCTGTTTTTTCAAAACCAACAAAATAACTCAATTTTCAGAAAATCTAAAAAAATCAAATGATAATTTAACAAATTCGATTTTTTTTTTCTTCCGCATTCTAAATCTTACAATCGCGGCAAATTGTAAACAAACGGAACATTAACCATTATAATGTAGAGCATAAGAATTTATTGCTAGTAAGTTTTCTGATTACCAAAATACACCAGACACCATAATTTGAATAAGCTCACTTTTCTATCTGCTATAGAAATGTGACACTATTTTTCGATAAATGTTTAGAATAATTCATTGATAAAAATAATTTCAAAATTATACATAAACTTTTTTATGCACAAATCTCTTTATTTTGAGCACTAAGATTGAAATAAATAGTATGATATGTTAGCCGGATAAAAATATAAGTTGAGCTTATTAAGTTCCAAAGGATTACAGTTAAATATTTAACTGAAATCCAAAGGATTTCAGTTAAATATTGCCCATTTAAATTTAATGAAGAACTGAGAGCCCTTACTTATTAATCACCTTATCCATATATATATGTCATTAAACAAGAATGACTTTGCATAAAGAAATTTGGTCAAGAACAGATATTTAAGAATCATGACGCATACTTTATTAAAAAGTCAAAATGAAGATGCAATTGATAAACAAAACCTCTTCATAAATAAACCGAACGACTTCTTGCAACATTAAAATTGAATGCAAATTAATCATCATACAGAATGGTTTTATAAAAAAAAGACTGAACGGTAAGTATAATTGCAACAAATCAAATTTGACTCTATTTGGATATTTGGATTTAAAATATAATCGTCTTATTGCAAAAATTTGCGCATAAACTTTATTAAAATAAATAAATAATTGTACTTGAGGCATATATTAATGGTGTTAAATATGTAATGAAAGTATTCATTACAACTTGTACAGCTTAAATTGTACAAAGACTATTTTGATATTTTGATTATTTTGATATTCAAAAAATCTAATCCGACAAAACGTCTCGCTTGCCCTTAAATTATTATTTTTATATTTTTCAATAATTAAAGTTATTCTAACAGATATTGATTTATCACAGTATAATACGATTATATTTTTGCAAAAGTTAATATATAATACTAAATTATATTAAAACAATAATTATTTCTAACAACTCTCTGATCAATCAATTTTGTAACGATTGGTGTCAGGAGACGCCATATATATATATATATATATATATATATGTGTAAATAACTTTATTAGTTAATATATTTTTTGTCTCTAAGATATTTTTTTAAGAAAATTACTACGAGCTTGACGCTATTTTCGAAACTAACAAATCTAATCAATGAAATATATTGAAGTGATTTAATATATTTTTGATCTGAAAATTATGATTAAAATAAAATTTTTAATTATATATTTATATATTTATATTAATTTTCATCGTAAATAAAATTCTTTATCGGTAATATTATCACAAAAACATGTAATTTACGTTTTATAACTCAATTTTATTAATCACAAACAATTTACAACTTGATGACTGGAATTTAGGCAAATCTGTTAATTGTTTTGAAATTTTTTGAACAGGTCTACTTATATTAGAACCAATTACAAGCAAATATAAAATTCGTTCAACTATAAATTATTTAATACTGATATATTACGAACGAGCTATTTTAATTTAGATACTCATTCGAATAAAGGAAAAGATTATTATAACATTAAAACGAATTATGTGATTTATTGAATAATTATTCAAATTCCAATATTGCATGTGAATAAGCATCAGCATATGGAAGCAAATTTTAATGTGAAGGTTTTTTATATAAATTATAATAATTCAAGCAAAATTCAAAACAAGGAAGAGTTTACAACTCAACTGTATATGAAGCTTATTTTCGGGAATTTTAGAATCAATTCTGAAAAGATATATATGAAATCCTGCTTATATTTATGAACTTATCGTTGGGTAAGTTATAGTAATTGTCCGAAAATAGAAAATGAAATTTTTTGCATATATTTACGTTCCAGAGTTTTCTGATTATTTTAGCATACCTCAGAAAAAATTGACGTGTGTGTGTGTTTTGTGTGTCCACAATTTTTTGTCCACGTTTTCGGGCGCACGGATCAACCGATTTGAATAGCTCAAAGAACATTCGATTCCTATTGATAAGGAGAGGTGCTGATTTGATTTTGTATGTCGAAAATTATTCAGACTTTAATTTTAATTCTGGTTGAAGTTCTAAAGCTCTTTTATATACTTTAAATAAATAATTTTAATTTTGTAATTCAGTTTATATAATACTTATATATATATATATATATATATATATATATATTAGACAATTTTACAGTATTTATATGAATCTAATTTATCTGAAAACATTTAATATTGCAAGGGAATGGAAAGTTCCAGCGATTTGCCTTAAGGCACGGTGCCATACGGCACTAGTTTCAGATATTATATTTGTCTATCGATTCAAATATTTGTCACTGAAACCTGTGATTATAAAATAAATGTCAGCAACTACAAGATAGAATATTTATTAAGGTTATGAACAATACCATTAATGAAATATTTATTGTGCATAATTTATAAAGGTTACGTCAATTCAAAAAAAAAAAATCTTATTCGGATATCATGAAATCCATTATTGTGTATAACGTTACACAAAAAAAATTCAGAAAGTTGAATGAAATATATGTGATTAATCTTCTTTTTTATGAAAGTGGTTATGAGCAAAATTCGGATTCTATTTGAACTTTAATAGTTTTGAATAAATTATTGTTATTGTCTTCAATTTTTGTCATTTTGTAAGTACCATCAATAAGCAAAAACTCGATTTGAACAAACAAAACTAACTAAGAACTGAGACGAGTTTATTTGCCCTCATCAGAGTCTATAACATACATTGCAATATTATAATTTCATACTGTAGATTTTCAATAAGATGATATTATAAATCTAAATAATAGGTCTAACAATTTTTTTTCCTAAAATAAGATATCTGATTTTAAGCAGGCTTCATGTGGCGAGCATAGCTCACTTGGTACCGTGTTCGATTCACACGACAGGAATCTTCGGATCAAATCCTGTCATTTACTTATAATATAGGAATAAAAATATGTATAGTTAATTTGAAATCAAATGAAAATATTATTGTTAAGTAAGGGTTTATAATACAATTTTGAAATTTCTGTATTTTATTCATTCATAGTAAATAAATATAAATATAAACCTCTTCAATGAAGAGTCTTCATTAATTAGATTATTAGAAATATTAATATATATATATATATATATATATATATATATTTATATATATATATATATATATAAATTTCAAAATAAAAAATATAATGCAAAAAAACAAGCAAAATCTACATTTATAACGTATTTAGATATACAAATACATTACATATGAATGTACAAAGAACAACGTTTTATCACATTAATAAAATGACCGTTCGTCCTGAATTTCCATTTCGTTTCCCGGATTTTTCCAAATACAATTTTTAGCCTGGACTCGAGTTTTTGTTTTCAATATTTATTAGTCCAAAAATTAATCAAAAGAATTGTTTATATCGAAACATGCGACATAAAATAAACACTCTTAATATTACTCACGTATAATTATGAAGAAAACTGTACATAATTTTATACAATGAATAAACGCAAAAATACCATATTTCAGAAAAATACAAAAAAACTTCGTACATTTGTACTAAAAAGCTTTTTGTAAGTAATTCTTATTAATTTTTTTTAAAATAAATAAATTACTGTATCCTTAAATAGTATTGATTTTGTTTATAAATTTTTGAAAAATAATTTCAAAAAATGACAGTTGAGTTATTTAACTCGACTACAGCACGCCCCAAGTTCCGGATGTGAAATGAAAAAATATGATAACCTTAAAACTACTTACTAAATTATATAACACCTTCTCCCTCATGGTCACTACTTGTTTAATACGAAATTGTTTATTCCTTTACAATGTCTTTTCTTTATTTAAAAACCAACTAAACCAATAATATAATTCGAACAGCACAAACAGTTTATCTCCATAATCTAACCACCAGCCGTAAATCACTATCGCTTAAATTAACTTCAAGCCGTATTACAGCAGTTTTTTAACAGCTATCAAGTCGGTAACTTAATCCAACCGGAGTTCTTTCCGGGCGGTCACAAAGCTTAATTTGGAGAGCACCTTGGATGCTTATAAGATTATATGTTACCCCACCACTAAAGAAATGAAGATGATACAATATGAAATTAACATTCGCACATCTGCGAGCTTCTTCTCATTGCAATTTCAATGATGATGCACAGAGCAAAATCTCTGGCAATTAAAGCCCTTTGACTCAAATCGGAGAGTAAGCTCACAACCAGATTGGAAAATAACATTAGAATATAGATGGAAAAATGTATTAGAAGTATGCTGCCTAAATTTTAAGTATTAAACTTTATAACGTCTGTTATAACCTCAAATCCAACAAAAAAACAGATTTTTTTTCGAGAGAATAATTATAAATTTATGTAAGTACAAGACAAAATTACTCACAGGGGTATTCGGCAGTATTACTTGTTACACTTATCAAATTAATACATACAAAATATATCATACTTATTGGGATTAGTGGCATGCGCTGACTTTTTATGTATGTTGCTCATACAAATCATATCTCGCAAAAAATCACTATATTTAGTATTTTGTAATTAACTTCCCGTAGGGTAAGTTAGAAGAATCGTCCAAAAATCGAAAATACAAATTTTTGCATGTCATCGCGGTTTCTGAACATTTTGGCATATCTTAGAAAAAATGGATGTATGTGTGGATACAATTTATCGTCCACGATTTCGGGCGCACGGATCAACCGATTTGACATATTCAAAAAATATTCAATTCCTACTGATAAAGAGATGTGCTAACTCCGGTTTTGCAAAGACAGGTCTAAGTATGTCGGAGATACAAAGCAAAAAATAAAAATTGAGTTTTTGAGAAAACAAACCATCTGATTCATTTCGTAATGATGGGGAAATATGGTCATTAGTTTTTGGCAAAGACATGACCAGCCGTTTCAGAGATACGGAACTAAATGTGCAAAAAATAATTGATGAGTTTTTGAGAGAACGAAGCATCCGATTTGAATGATTCAAAAAAGATTTTGCTTATGTTGACAATGTTAAAACCCTATTTTTATTAATTACCAAAAAAAGTTTTTTTAATATCAAAAATGATTCGGGGTTTCAATTTTAATTCTAGTTAAAATTCTTAGAACAATGAAATAAGGTCCTTCATTCTAACTCCGCTTGATTAATTTATGTTTATTTACTTTTCATGTAAATATATATCAACGTCGTCATCCAATTCATAAGCTCTTATCTTTTGTCTATAAAATACGAATAATGAAAATTACAGTATTTATAAAAATCTGTATCAGCCAGAAAAAAAATCAATATGGCTCAGAAAACCGCAATTATATTTGCGTTTTAAGCTGCGCAGCTCAAAAATTACAATATGTGCACCTATTTAAAAGTGTGTCGTATACAAACCTACTTTTTAGCGTACCGAAACTTCAGAAAAACTAAAGTAATAATCAGCTATAAATGATTTAATAAATTAGTTTTCCGAAAAAATGTAAGGTGAGTGAATATAAAATTTGTTTCGTTTGTACGAATTTTGGTAAAAGGGATAGATAAATATTTTTAATGAATAAATATTCCTTTCAATTTTATGCAATTATTTTGAGAAAAATCCTCACCTTTTGTAAGGGCTACGCCTATAAGTATGGTTTCATCCTATGGTAGAAAACTTACCAATTCAATGGTTAAATTAAAGTTATTATCAAAGTTGAATTAAATTTTTGATCTCATCTCGAGTTGATCAACTTACAACCAATCAAATTTGTCTTATTCAAAAATTCGAAGTCTGTAGAATGGCAAACGAGTGAAATCGATATAAAAACCAACTTGGAACCCTATAAAGGCAAACCAATATATCGCAAATTTTTGATTAGTACAATTTTTAAATTAAACTAAACATGTTTATCATATTTGAAAAAGCAAATAAATAATGATTTTACTAGAGGCAAAATATCAATTATTTTCTGAAATATTGGATGGATGATTATCAATCACACCTTTGTGACCTAATTCAAATCCGAGACCCTTATTTTAACTTGTTTCGACCTTTCTGCATAAAAATTGCTCATTTTGCAAAACCAAATGAGTTTATATACTCAGAGTCTCAAAAGTATTATTTATAAATTCATTGAAATCATAAGAAATATCGAAGGATCTAAGTATTTAATTGACAATAAAACGCATAAAATATTAACTAAATATTTTAATACTAGTTACGTAATAATTAGCATTTTAAAATAAGTTTAGAATATTGTATAATTTAATATTTATAAACGATGCTACTACGGCGATGTGAAAAACAGCATTCCAATAAAACAAGCAAATCATGTAAATAATTGTAAAATTAAATATTTTAATTTAAAAAAAATATTTCAAATATATGCACAATAATAAGCGAAGAGCCTAGGTCGTAATGGCAACATGCTCGAATGATTTGCAAAATGCGCCAAGATTGATTGATATTTAGAATTAATTTATATTTAGCACATTAAACAGAAAAAAAATTAAATGTGCCTGAATTCTAGAGATGGTAAGATCAATAAAATAATATATATATACTAGCCGCCCCAACAAACGTTTAGCCATAAAAAATATTTCTAGAAAATTTTTAGCATTTAAAATAACTGACTAAATGGGGAAGTGTGTGGTATATAAGTGAAAGAGAAAGCTCAGATAAATTAAGTAGATAGTTTACCCACTGCAACGCATTCGTCATATAAATATTTTTGAGACATATTAATAGTCGTTGCAAGTGCCAGCCTAATCTGAAACTGAATCGTTTGATAATATGACGCATCTAGTTTTATTGATAGTAGCCATTCTGTCGCCAATATCTAATAATTGTTCTGAAAATGTTTTAGCGGATAAAGCGGATAAATTTAAGCTTTTCAATAAGCACAGAAAACACTTGATCAAAATTCAATGAAGCTAATCAATAAAAAATCAATGATTGCAAATAAAATGCACTAGAAAATCTTGTTACTATTAGATTTTTATTTTTTTACTCAAATTTTGTTACTATGAAACTATCAAGTATTTTACCATGCTACATGCTCTAACTTCTGATAAAACGTGCCAGCAAACTTTAATGCATTTTTCAAAGGAGGGCTTTGTTTTGAAAGTTCTAAATTTAAAGTTTAACAAACAGTCTTAATACTTGAAAACTTGGGGCAATTGTATCATTATTGTTCACTGTGGTTCTAGAAATATTATTCACGATTACGGATTCAGAGCTTAAATAAATCAAATTAATGAAAATTAACCACAATAACTGAAAAATAGTCACATTTTCACTAAAGCTTTAATTGCCCCTAAGAGCTCATCATTTTGAAACTACGTGAGATAAATTATTTTTCTAGTCTTTTTCTTGATAGTAATAATCAATATTATCACCACGCTTCGGCTTGACGTAGAGTTCTGAGACACCCTGTATATATATATATATATATATATATATATATATATATATATATACAGTTGAATTGAATATATATGAATATATAGCCGCAAGTATTATCTTGTAAGCATATAATAAGATGCACATAAAATGTATGTTTCAATACATATTTTCTATTTCGTAACTCATCCTTATTTATTATGGTGTTTATTGATTAACTATAAGAAGTGACTAATAATATGCACAAATTAATACGTGTCACGTCACACAGAATAAAATTATTACGAATATCATTTAATGAAAATGTGTCCTTCGAATGTGTGACAGCTATCATTAAGAAAAATAATATCACATGCAAGCTTATATTTTAAACATATCCTTGTCAAAGATGAATATTTAAAACATAAAGTCTCGTCTTCATGCAATATGTTCAAGTGCATACTGGGCTTAAAAAATTAAAGACAAAACCATGATTCAAACAAAAACTCAATCGTATTTCAAAGATTTTGTATTTAAATTTCAATAATTTCATATTATTGAACGCGATGAACGCCAGCTAACTAATTCAATTAATAGTGATTTTCGAAATAACACTTATTGGATATGACATCATTATGATTTACTCTGGAAATAGCCTATATTGTCGACGTAGATCAGATAATTCATATTCAGCATTCAGTCAAAAAATCTATCAAGTATAGATCAAAATTTACATTAAATAAAAATATTCATCATATAAATTTCTTTAGTCTTCATATCAGAAAAATATTTTTTGAGATGTTCTTCTAATCACATTGCTCAAATGAACCAGGAATGCATCACATAAAAACAAGAAAATGTTGTAAACCAAATATCCATGCTCGGAATTGTTTACATCAAAGGACAATTTGGCAAAAGCATAGAACAATATTGCACAGAGCTAAGTTAATTTTGAGCCACAAAATTGTTTACAATCCATGAATTGTTTTTATGTAAATCGGTATTTAAAGTTGTTTCTCAACTGGTAAAAATGTTGGAATATAGCCGTGAAAAAGACCTTACAATTTATTATGTTGTATAATAACCTTTGTATTTTATTTACCGCTTTTTGGTACCTTGGATGAACCTAAAAAACAATTGATGCAGATACTTTATTATTTCAAATAATCAGAAATACAATAATTTTCTATGAAATTACAATTCAACTCATTTACAAATTAACTGGTAATTGATTTTAATTAAGGGCGTATTTTACGTGTAAAATTAGCAAATCCTTAGAATACAATCATCATTTCAAAACCCATTTAGATTTTTGCATCTAACTTTGGATATAAGAGATCGATTGAATTTTTCAGTTCAAAATATTTGGTAAAAAACGTTGCAAAAAATTCAGATTCCTTTCTATAATTTAATTTTAATAAAATATAGCATAAAAATTATTAAATATTCTTTCTATAAAATATACAGAAAAAACCGAAGATGACACATTTAAGAAGAAACAAGTTATTTGATATATCTGAGAATTGTTCATTAACAATAAATATAAAAACATGTCATAGAAGTTATATATATATATATATATATATATATATATATATAACTTCTATGACATGTTTTTATATTTATTATCTAACAGGTTTAAAAGATTCACTATAAGTATAATACTACACTACAATGAGATAAATCGAGTAATTGGGCTAATATAATTAATGTGAATTTTTTTTTAACTTTTTAAAAATTAGTCACGATATATATAAGGTGTCTCAGACCTTGACGTCAAGCCGAAACGTAGTGTTAGTATTGATTGTAACTGCTCTGAAAAAAGTTAGAAAAAACAATTATCTCAGGTTGTTTGGAGATTACGATCTTTTAGGTGCAACCTGACTTTTATTCCAATAAACCTAAACTGAACTAGGTCATCATTATCCATTATTTTATTAATTTCAGTAATTTTTGCTGATTTTGGTAAAAGTGGAGTCATCTGCTTCGCAAACCGAGAAATCATGTCTATTATACATCTCTGAACATCTCACAGTAAAATTATGAATCTACGAAAGGCTTATGTAAAATAAAGACATTTAAGTGCGTTAGAAACTGTTGGAACATTTTTATTTTTCTATTATGAAATAGTTTTAAGTAGTTTACCATTTTACAATCCTAATTAAATGCGCCAACTTTTGATGATACTTGCCAACACACTTTAGTACATTTATTGAAAGAAAATTTCAAATTCATAGTTCAACAAAAAGTATTGATTCTTGAAAACGTGGGGCTATTGTGTCATTATTAACTTCCCGAAGAAGTTTATGTTTGCATCAAAAAATCCGATTCGCTAATTTTATGTTTTCTCGACGTTTCAAGCCATTCTGAATCAAATGAGACTAAATTTGGAAAAAGTATGTGTGTGAGCTTGAACAGATTTTTTGCCGTTAATCGACTTGACCGATTTTAAAAATTCAAAAGTCATTCGATGTATCTCGATCTAAATCACAGAAAAGTGTAAATTTTTTCCTCCACGTTTAAGCCCGCAATTCAGAATCGATTTTGAAAATTCAAAAACTGTTCGAAAGATATTGGTTGGCAATCGACCTGATTAGTTTTTGGTAAAGATCAGCCGTGCCGTTTTCTTGTAATAAAGTGTTGAAAAAAAAAATTTCGACGATTTTATATATATATATTTTTTTTGCCGTTAGACACCAGTTGTAGATCATACTAAAATATTACGGCCCTACGACAAGTAGTTTAATTTTAAAAATTCGTCGAAGTTTGCAAAAATTGGTATCGTTTTTTTGGCGTTTGTCAAAACTAAAACTTTCATCAAAGTTTAATTAAAAACTGAACCTGATTCCTGAACCGATTTCAAAAATTTAAAAACCAATTGATGTATTTCGATGTGGATTCTCTTTTCTCAGTTTTGTGCGACAATCGAATGACTAGTTTCTTTGTAAATAGCAGAAAAGTAAAAAAAAAATTCGGCCATTTTAGCTCACAATTCTGAATCGATTTAAAAAAATCAAAAACTGTTCGAAAGATATTAGTTGGGAATGATACTGATTAGTTTTAGGTGAAAATCTACCAAGCCGTTTTCTTGTAATTGACTGTTGAAAAAAAAAATTAAACCGATTTTTATGGAACCTTTTTTGTCGCTATATATCATGGTCTTATAGAACTTGCTGAAATATTACGGCCTTACAAGTAGTTCAATTTTAAAAATTTATCAAAGTTTGAGAAAATGAGTTTTGAATTGACGTTTGTTAAAATTAAAATTAGACGATTTGCTTGGTATAACGATAGAGTACTTGGTTTTAATGAATATACTAAACCATTAAAATCCTATGGAAACTGGTTCAATTATAAAAATTGACGATTTTTAAAAAATTGCTTTTAGAAAATACTCTAAAAGTTAACGTGTTCGTTCGTTTTTAATTATGAGTAATAAATCCACTCGGAATACTTTTAATCACTCATACATTATTTTTATTAATTAAGTCGAAAATTTACACATTTCGGAAAGTTCATGTAACTTGCCTCAAGGCAAAATACCAATACCAACTAGTTCTTTTATTTTCTTCAGAACAATTACGGTATGGTTACGGTCATCAACTATCAACCCCGTATATACAGGTATTTATAATATCATGTTTTATCATTTATACATACATATATATATTAAACACAAATAAAATATAAAATTTAATATTATTGGAAAATAAATAATTAAAAATTGATATAGCAATATATACAGTGTGGGTGATGTGCTATTATTCATAAATATTAACACATTTGTACTATTATACATATATTATGTAATGCTGTAGATGTCCATAAGCAAAATGTATATATATATATATATATATATATATATATGTACTAATTAATTTATTGCAATCTGCTGAGGCCGTAAATAAAGTATGGCAATAAACAGAGCATAAGAAATAATGCCAGAACAAAAGAACAGACAAAAACTTGAAGGCGCGTCAATAAAATATTTTCACCTTGAAAACAAAAAATATCATCTGTCTAAAATAAACAACGTGACATAATGCGTAGCTTTAACAAATTCTAAAACGCGTGTTGGAACAAAAATATGCATACTAATTAATGTTGCAAGAATGAGTAACTCGACGGTATCGTCGACAAGAGGTGATCACGGAACCGAATCGGGCAGCCAGCCGCAAGTAGCGGTCTCCACCGAACAGATAAATATTCCGCTGCACGGCGGAGATCCAGAAAGCACCGATTGTAGTCTAAGCACTTTAACGAGCAACGAGGACATACGAGGTTCGATCAATGACTGAAAGTAAAATTGGTCAAATTATAGGGTAATTATTTGCAACCGAATGCCGTTGAGTTTATATTAACACTCAACGGATGCACCCCGTAGATTTACGTGTTTCCGTTGCAACGACCTAGGACGGGCCACGAAAATTTACATGTTTCCGTTGCAATGACCTAGGACGGGCCACGTAGATTTACGTGTTTTGCGTAAAGTTTTAGTATAACTCACTAAAAGGTTTTTAGTTTTTTATGCAAACTTTTATTTTTTCTTGATTCAATTACCTATAGTACATGTCATTGATATTGTAGTTACTATGATCTTAATCCGCGTTTATATCAATTCACTGAAAATTGCCCGGAAACTAGGTTAGGCAGAACAGATTCGATCTGTCCGTTAAGTGTTAAGGGAAATTAATATAATAAATCAATAATAATTCAAAATAAACTACCAATAGTTTGGAAGCTCAGATCGTATTATAAGTTAGTGGTGCATGGCATCGTGCCGTAAGGCTAATTGCTGTAAATTTTCAAATAAGTTTCAAAAGTTTTTAAAACGAAAAGCTGCGTAGAGACAAAAAGCTGCGTATTGGAAGTGCATGTGTCTACTGATCATTTTTGGCCGTAAAATGGATTTTATTTAACTTTTTTATTGGATGTTCGAAACCGCTAGTCCTGTCTTCCCAAAAATTTTATCAGTTCTTCATTTCGTCAATACAAATAAAATGTTTTTTAAATCAATCAAATCGGACGCTCCGTTACCTCAAAAACTGAATTACCACTTTTAGCACGTTTGGCAAAAACTGATCAGTACGTCACCCCGTTAATACGAATCGATTCAAATCGGTTCATCCGTGTTCTCGAAACCGCCGACAAAAATTTGTATCCGAACACACACACACACGCACGCACACACATACATTAAATTATTAGGAGATATAGCGCGTAGCGCATTTTTCGCAACATTAATTAATTTTTATAATTAAACTACTTCTCATAGGCCTATAATATTTTACGGGGTTCGGTTTGACTATCAATTCTATAACCATGCATAGTTTCATCAAAATCCAAGAAGAGTAAACCTGAGGGTTTCCATGTAAGGTATGCCAAAATGTTCAGAGCCTTAGAAATGTAAAGAAATATAAAATTTTCATTTTCGATTTTTTTGCGATTACTGTAACTTACCATACGGGAAGTAAATACTAATTTATGATTCTATAGGTATAGCAATGAATAGATTATATAAAGCCCGGTGCACACGACGCCAGTATTCCTTGTAATATGATTTCTATCGTAACAGGATTTCTAGCGAGCAAGAATTTTGCGCCAGATTTTCACTTATTTTATGATTAATATTAATTTCGTACATTTTCAAATAGATTATTATAAATATATACTGTGAATTTCACAATTTATATTTTATAGATCTAAAATACACTAATGCTTATAAGTGTACAAACAGAGAATTGTATGAATTGTAAACAAAAACATGTACGTATCGCATCTGATTAGAATTAAGTGAAATAATAATAATTAAAAGATAATAAAATGCTTCAGTTTAAGGGGCACAACTAGTGTGAAATTTTCAAACTGTAGTCGAATTTTCATATTTTTTCATATTTCGATAGGTTATACCTTTAAAAATAACATACCAAAATTTCAAATCGATATCTTAAATAGTTTTTGAGTCACAGCCATTTAAAGAGTATATAGTATATAGTATATAGTATAACGATCATTTTATCTTTAAACGCGTTTTTCTCGAAACAGCATTTTTCGAATTTGCTGCAGCGATTACTCAAAAACAAATGATCCGATCACTATCAATTTTTTTGTACATGCTTTATATATAGTTCTCGTAAAATAAACTATCGATTTTTTGATAGGATCAAAAATCGAATTTTGGCAGTCCAAAAACTTTTTTATAAAAAACGCCGCCATTTAATCAATTTTTGATTTCTGTTATCGTAGTTTATTTTACAGACAACATTATCTAGTTTAACGATTTTTTTTTTGGATTTGATCCACGTAGAAGGCCGGAATCACTGCAGCAGTGAAAGGCCTTTTTTGTGCCGTTGGAGATCGACGATAACTTAAAAGATATTTAGTTTTTTTCTTCAAAAATTTTGAGATGTGCTGATTAGTTTTTGGCAAAGGCAGGTCCAGCAATTACGGAGATAAAGAGCAATGAGTGCAGAAAATTTAAATCGAGTTTTTGAGAGAACGGAGCATCCGATTTGAATGATCTAAAAACATTCAACTAGTAATGATTGGGAGAAGTGGTAATTAGTTTTTGGCAAAGGCAGGCCCAGCCCATTTCGAAGATACAGAGCTAAATGAGCAAAAAATGGCAGTTTTTGAGAGAACTAAGCGTCCGATTTAAATGATTCAAAAAACTTTCTGCTTGTTTTACCGAAACAATTGATTTTGGAAAAAAAAATCTTGTTTCAAATTTTTTTTTTTCGAAAAAAAAAAAATTTTTGTATATCGAAAATAATTCAGATTTTTATTTTAATTCTGTTCTAATATACTTTAAACAAATAATTTTAACTTTCCAATTCAGTTTATATAATTCTTATAAATATTAGACAATGTTACAATATTTATAATAATCTATTTTAAAACATTTAATATTCCTCGATCATTTCGTTACGGTACGGGTAGTTCCAGCAATTTGCCTTAAGGCACGATGCCATACACCCAACTAATTTTTTTTTAATTTTGAGTATTTTTGCAAATTTCGAAATTTTTGAAATAAAACGATTTGAATTTTTTTGTAATTTTTTGGAAATTTTGAATTTTTTTGATATTTCAGATAAAATTACGAAAATTTGAAAAAAAATGCATATTTAAATTTTTTCGGAAATTTTAAAATTACTGAACTGCCTTTCCTAAACTAATCATTTATTCACGCCGCTATATACGAGTATACACAATAGCTATTTACAAAATAAAAACTAAACGCTTCCAAAATCGAAGTAAATGAATCAAGTACGCATTGATATTTTCGTGTCAAAATACAGCTTTCCTATTGGACACTGAAGGTATCGGCCACGAGATCGTTCATCTATCGCCGACATAGGACATGCTCTATTCGTAAAATACGGCAGGAATTTGCAAGGACTGAAGTTGTTATGAAATCAAATTCCGACGTTGTTAAGGCAACGGTTTTACTTAGAAATTATGATGAGTATACCGCCGTTGTGAATGCGTGAAATCTAGCAGGCCAGATCGCAAATTATGTCGCGCAAGATCGTAAATTATGGTTTATCATGTCGTTCCTAGGGTAACAAACAAACAAAAACTGTCCAGCATGAAAACTGGCGTCGTGTGCACCGGGCTTAACAGTAGATTTTTGAGAAAATAATTACTGCCAAGAAATCAAAAGTTCATTTAATAATGAGGTGATGCTAATAAACTTTCCGAACATGCATATATGTATTTTTAAGATCGTTAATGGTCGAATCGATGACCACAACCGAAGATACGACAAATGTCAAAATGTTAAAGGTTACGGTTAGTTAGTCATTTGATAATCTCTTGAGAACATGGAATTATGAAGACCAACGTCATTAATTAAACTAGGTGTAACTGGCATTCTCTAAACAGATTTAATTTGAACCTATTATTGCAAAACTGCAAAGATTAACAAAAAAACTGCTGCTTAGAGTCTATTGATTTTTGCTCACAGGATCTTTGCTACAAGAGCAGTAAAACTATACAACAATTACACTGGTTAAGTATAAAGTCGAATTCAAAATATACATTTAAATCCATTATCAAAGAAAAACAATCTATATTTAAAATATCTAAGACATAACAAAAGTGTCAAACGCGTCACAATTTTCGTACTTGCCTTAAAACCTTTGCAATTATCTTATTATCTATATATCCATCATTCCCTTTCTCTGTGCCCAGAATCATCTTCCAAAATAGAAAGGAACAACAATATGCAATTTGTTTACACAAGATAGCATCATACTTATATTTAGACAAAACATTATTCGCTAATCGAGCAAATAGAGAGAGACCAGATGGGGCACTAGTTGACATTTCGCCTAATGGCAAGTAACTTCCGATAAAAGATACAAAATAGAAAGTTAAATAGTAATGATATCATCCATTGTGATTTTATTGAAAAGTTAAAACTTAAATCGATGCCTATGAATTGCTTTTATTTAATCTTATTTTAACTTGTGAAAAGGCGGATCAATAAAGGGTTCGTAGCAAATTTATCAAAACTACTTTTCATTTACCTATTACTAAAACCAACTAATAATATTTGTTCATGTAACATAAGAAATAAATATTTCACACCTTTCCTTCACGGTTGTAATAAATGTATACATATACATTCATACATTTATTACACCGAATATAATAAACTTTTGTGCATTAACATAAATATTCAGACTTGTTTTTGTAATATTATGCGTACACAGATACATATTATACATACATATATATATATATATATATATATATATATATATATATATATATATGTGTGTACATCTATGAGCAGAACGTATCATATACAGTTTGGGAAATATTGGACATGACATTTAAATAACAATTATGTCATAAACAACATTATATCGTACGTATCGATTAACGATAAAGCTTACCACAAAGTAAAAGGATAACCAAAAAATAATTCAATGCCAAGAATAGCAAGAATTATGCGTTTCAAGTCAGTTGATATTTTGTACAAAATATTTATTTTATGAGAATTAAAAGTTACATGGTAAAAAATAATTATAACACATAATAGAAGACGTAATAAAAATCGAAAATACATAATTAAAATCATAATATTTTTACCTTGGGTTTTTATAGATTCGTTTAGATTGTCATTCCAGAATCCTATGAATTCAGGATATTATAAAAAGGTATAAAATTTTATCTATTGATGAAGTAGAATAAGCGTATAACAGGCGAAGTAACTACTCTTTCTATTTGGCAATATGTTCAAGAAATTGAAATTATTATTTAAAATAAAGTTTGATGAAAAGATTCACAAGATTCTATTTTATTCAGAAATAAAATAGGTAAAATGCCCTTTTATCCGATATATGGCAATACAAAATTGTAACAATTGCGTTCAATATATGTATTTTAATGATTGTTAGATTTACATAGGTCATTCAACAAGTACTTATTGTTAGCCTGCAATTAAAGAATATTGCCACGAAGACGTGGCAATTTATTTTTGAGCATAATCCCCTTCAAACTCGATATATTCGGCGCAGCGAGTTTTCTCGAGTGCTGAAAAATAGGCCGAAAAGTTGCGGTGAAGTTAAGTGCTTGTTGAATGAATTTCGTTAGGAAGTGAAGCTCCAATATATAACAATAATAAGCAAATACCTGGAGGGTACTAATATATTATGTACTTACACTTACCTAATGCCACATCTGACAGAAAATAACAATCATCTTTCGTTATGCAGAAGCTTTAGGGCGCAAGATTCCACCAAGAAATCACTTTGATCCCAACAAGCCCAATTTCTACAAACGAATATGTTAAAAAAATATTACTATTAAATTTATCAGCATTAAATGAATAAACTTAATAATAAAGTATACTAGTCTCTTGTATTTAAACATTTAGAATCCAAGAAATATGAGGGTTCAGTAAGAAAGCACATAAAAGCTCAAGCAACATCATAAAATTGTAACAATAACAATTATACAGCTAACTTAACTCAAGCGACTCATTGTATCATTCCTCTAATCGAAAGTCTCTTTAAGATCGGCAGGTTCAATTATTGGATAAATTCGTGTTCCGCTAAAAATTGAAAATTAATATTAATTATTAATGTGCCATTTAATAAATGAATATTGTAAAACGTAATATTGATATCAACAATATTTACAGATGTAAGTCATCACGTATTTGACGGGGTGGTCAGAAGCGTTTTGAGCAATGCCCACCATAGCTGTGAAGTCGATCGTATAGACTACAACTACCTCTGCTCAGCAGATAGAAGCCCAATCGACTCATTGAGGTCTCTAGGACCGCCGCCGCTGTCCGGAGCTCCTCCTTCCTACTCCACGGCTATACGAACACAGTAATATTTGATTATAATATAATAATTTTAATGGTATTTAAAATGCAAAATGATGAGGTTATCTACATACCCAAAAGTTATTCAGGAATCATTTATGCATCGAGTTCGACATCGGTCAGTAACCAATTTATATAGCGATCAATTATTACCTACCTAATCAACTCTTGACACCATCATCGAAAATTGAATATTTGTTGAATCTTTTTAATCAATTGATCCATTATATCAAAAACATTTTCGCCACTTATAGCACTTTTCCTCCGTATCTCCGAAGCGGCTGCACGATTCTTTCTCGTAAACAGGAACCCTAAAGTAGACAAAAAGCCAATATTGATCTTTTAAATTCTTTGGCTAAAGGTTCGGATGCACCTAAACAGATATAATGGTGGATAAATTGCTAGAATATGTATTACGAGTCTTCTATGTAAATCCTATACTCAGAAAAATTATTGAAAAAATATATCACATCTGGTAATCCAAATTGATCATTTTTAGATCTTTCCGATCGCATTTTCGAAATGGCTAACTGCGTCGAAATCATTGCGATCAAAAATATTTTTTTATTCTTTTTTCAAGACCTAATTTCCAACTTGTGCTATATAAATTAGATTAGCCGTTTTGCTCACACCGTAGTAGATGCATACCTGTACCACATACATACAATTTTTAGCACCTACTGTATGCCAAAATGATGAAAACACCTTAAAACATCAAGTTATTTAAAAAATGAAAAAAAATTAGCGGTTGCTATAACTTACCTTACGGAAAGCATACAAGGTGAAGAAATTAGAAGCATAGGTAGGACAATATAGTGTCGTCGGTTAAAAATTATAAAACTTTTTCCAAACATAAAAAACTGATTTATTTGGATTTATAATTATATTCTCAATATATATTTTCATAAATATTTATCGGCATACGTAGATATAAACATGCATACTAAGATGTAAATGGTAATTATGAGTAGAACTTCTCAACAAAAAAAGAAATCCATTTTCTTGCGTATAATTAAGGCTTTAATTACTATAGTTAGAATGATCCAATTTAGGTCAATTGTGCGCAGTTTTATTCTATAACTTGTTGCGATTCTGAAGGTTACCATTATGCCCCTCTCACAGAATCCTACATCCCTATTGGCAAAAAATTGAGACAGTCGATTTTTATAAGGGTTTCTTGAAGTGATTTTTTCGCTTGCAAAACTGTTCGCCATGGATAGAAACAGATGGTAATCGCTTTGTATCAAGTCCTAACTATAAGATCAATGCATAAAAACCTCCCAATCTAACTCCCAGAGCTTCTGGCGAGTCACTATCGTTGATGTGTGTTTCCAAGCGTGGTCCTGATCGAACACTATTCTCTTGTATACGCCAAAGTTAGCCGTTTCTTGGTGATTGCTTCCTTTAGACGATTCAATTGTTTACCGTAAAATTCCGAGTGAATAGTTTTGCCAAAGAATAGAATATTTAATTCCCTGCTAATCCCACTAAATCCCAATTTTGGGTTGGCCACCATATCTGCCCGCACACCGCGATTCGAACACGGCAGTTTTCCTTCACGTTGTCGCAAGAGATCCACTTTCCATCACCAGTCATCAACCGCTTCAAAAATGGGGTGATTTTCTTGCGATTCAGCAGCAATTCGCAGATGGAAATTCTGTCCAGTAGGTTTTCGTGTAGCACGCATACATCCAGCTTCTTCTTGTATCTAGCCTTATTCAAATAATGCGAAACGGTTTTTTGTACAGTCTTTAGCTCTTGGGCATTAGCAGATAAAAATCGACTTGATATGACGGTTGGACTCCATGATTTTATCGACATTTTCGACAATTGGCCATACAGTGCGCGTGCGACAATGCGTCAAAATTACCCGAATAAATCGACAAAACCAAAATTGCGCGTAATCGATTTTGCAGTATTAGGATCATTAAGACTATTCACATTTTTAGCCGTCTGGCTTGCATTTTTGCCTTTATCGAACAAAAAGATAAAAATATAGTGTATTTTCTCTTTATGCGCACTTAAACAAAACTGAGTCAATCTGTCAAAAAACGTTTTTTAGTACTAAATCTCATCTTTCTAACACCGCCTAGTAAAACCGAATCGGACTTATAAAACGCGAAACACAGATGACAACATTTTGAAATTTTGATCCAAAAATAATGAATGGATTTCTTTATTATTCATTCAATATTATACAACATAATTGACAGAGCTCTAGGGCTAAATAACACATAAAATAGTAAATTATGCAAGAAGGAGATATAAAATCAAACTAAAAATTAAATAAATAAATAAATAAAAATTAATAACAAATAAAAAAGATAAACAAATAAAATAGGAAAACAAATAGTAGCAATCGCTCCAATAAGCAATTGACTATGCGATACGATGAACACAATAAGATGAACAGATATTTATCTCTCGTATATTTATAAGTATTTTGGTAATTATATATATTTCATCCACATTTGAACATCGTCGAAACAATGTAAATATTTCTATGCAGGTTAGAAGCCGCTGGCTGATAGTAAAAATCATAAAAATTCAAAATACAGCACATATTATGATTAAATCTACAGTCAGCCAATAACAGGATGCGTTCTGTATAATGTCTCAATTTGCTGCCACGATTGACGTTGGCCAAGTGGATGCATGACGCCTAGTTCTAAAATAATTAACAACTTACTTGTTTTACATAAATGTGCTATTTGAATACTAATATAAAAAAAGTGTTTAAGTTGTTGCATTCCATTATTATTACGAACATAATTTATTATTACTTAGGTCTTATGTAATTGAAAACCAATATAATATGAGTAGAACTCACTCATTGAAAATTTCTGTTAAAGAAAAAGCATATTTATAATCGAAATACTTCTTGGGAATTCGTCTCAAAATCCCTGATAACACAAAATAAAATAAAATTATTTAAATGATTGATATATCAAATATTAATAACGTGTTTGTCCAGATTTTTTACCCTATTTCTTAGATTTAGAAAATAAAATCAATCACCATATATGTTGTTATCGTACAACAAATGTAAAATGATATCATAAATAATTTAAATAAAGTTGTAATACAAAAAGTTCAATATATATATTCTGTAACCCAACCTGCTACTCTGCTATATTAAATTGATTTCATCGAATAAAATACAAATCCGCTCACCTTCCTTTTTATACTAAATATCTGTCATCCCAGTGAAAAAGAGGTTAAGTCAATTTTCACTATTTTGCAAATCATGATTCTATTACTCGTGTAATATCACGTTTTTGAAATTAATTGTTTAAATTTTATATAAAGTGCTTCTTTAACTTGCGTTCCTGAAATCATCGACTTATATGCTCCAAATGAAAATTTCGTGTACTTTGAACACAAATAAAAGAATTGAACTTTCTTTCTGAATTTTGTATTATAACTTTCCCCGAAAATTTATCAGTCAAGTGGCAACTAAATTAGCAGGAAAACATTTGACAAATTGAAAGAGTGCATCAAATTTTATTTTTTCTATTCGTAAATCGTTATATCAATTCTGTTAATTTTTCTTAAAATATATTAGAAATATATTTACAAAACATCAAACGCTTCCAAACGCTCAATAATTTTAAATGCCACAGCTTAAATGTCCTACCCATTTTTACTTAAGAATTTTTGTATTTAGGTATGATAATAAATAAACTTGCACTTCATTTAGATTCACATTATAAGATTTGAATACTTAGAAATAAAACAAGTTTTTTAAACCTTGAACTTTAAGTGCAATTCAATATATTGCAAGCTGAACTATGACTTCTAAGCGAACCATCATTACTTTATTACGAATATATATATATATATATATATATATATATATATATATATCACATGTGTATAGATATATGTGTCTGTCTGTAATTCATACATATGTGAATAATATGTTGAATTATTATATAACACTATACGCATATACGTATATAATTATTCAATACTTTAATGAATATTATTATAACCACGTTTAACTTAAATTTCAATTTATGTCATACTCGTATTTGTGCCAAGAAATATCAAATATCTATTAATAAATCCGTAACTACTTTGTAGATCCTGCTCGGTAATTGCAATCATAATGATTATATTTAATTTGAGAAGAACAATTATTATTGTACATGATTATACATATATAGTAATTGATTATTGATAAAATGATAATATAATTAAAATGAAGACGAGCGTTCAAAAATAATCGTTCATCCAGTTCGTATACGGTATATGACGGTATACGTAAATGAAGACAAAACTAGCTGTAAGTGGAATTCTGTCTTAAGGCAATTAAGGCATCGTGCCTTAAGGCAAATTGCTGGAACTTCCCGTACCAAAAATTATTATTTTTTTTAAAAACGATTAACATTTTTGAAAAAAATTTACTTTAAAAAAATAAGATTTTTGAGAAACTATAAATTGGACAAAAAATTATTTTTTTTGAAAAAAAAATTTTTTTTTTTAAAAAATTCTTTTTCTTAATTTTTTTTTTTGAAAAACATTTTTTTTTCTTTATTTTGACATATTGTGGAAGATCTGAACTTTTTTTCAAAGCAATCGTTCTGCTTTAACTGCATAGGGACAAAATATAAAGCGCGTAAGCGCCGCGTCGCTGTCTAACGCATAAGCATTGGTATGGAACCCATAGGAATGTAACAAAATGTATACTTATTGTTAAAATCTCTATAAAATATCTGATAATTTAATGTGCATATGTCTAATGATCATTTTTGACCGCCAAATGGCTCATTTTTTTACTTTTTCCTCCATATCTCCGAAACCGCTAGACCTACCATCATGAAAATTTTATCGATTCTTCATCTTGTCAATACAAGTGAAATGTTTTTTGAATTATTCAAATCGAACGCTCCGTTCTCTTAAAAACTGAGTTACGGTTTTCGGCACTTTTTGCCCCGTATCTTCGGAACGGCTAGACCTGCCTTCGCCAAAAACTAATCAGCACGTCTCTTTATCAATACAAATTGAATGTTTTTTGAATTATTCAAATCGGTTGATCCGTGTTCCCGAAATCGTCGACGAAAATTTGTATCCGCACATACATACACACACGTACATACATACATACATACATACATACATACATACACACACACACACACACACACACACACATACATCCATTTTTTCTAAGGTATGCCAAAATATTCAGAAACCTCTGAAACGTAAAGATATATAAAAAATTTCATTTTTGATTTTTTTGCGATTACTATAACTTACCCTACGGGAAGTTAATAAATGAACTCAATAAAATTTGGCCCAATAAAATAATAGGTCAAGACATGAGATTATTCATTTCATTTCCTATATTTGCATTTTAATCTTTCATCTTTTGATTACCTCCAACAACTTTTGATTTACAAGGATACTTTTCTGTAATACAGATAAATGCACGCAATAAAAATGGTATTGTGTTAAGGCAAAGTGCTCCCATTTTATGAGCAAGTATAGATGAAAATACGACTTTTTGACCAAATTGATAAATATTGAAACATTTGTTTTGAATGCAGACTTTGAAATAAAAACTAGTGATACAAGTTCTCGTACCAAAAATTATTTTCTTTCAAAAAGCTTTAAATTTTTTTGAGCAGAATTTGAAATAAAAACTAGTGATACAACTTCTCGTATCAAAAATAATTTTCTTTAAAAAAGCTTTAAATTTTTTTGAGAATCTTGGAATTATTAAAAAAAATTAACTTCTTTAAAAATTTGAAATATTTTATTTTGAAATTTTTGAACTTTTTCAAAGCAATCGCGCTTCAAAACTAATTAGCACGTCTCCTTATCAATAGGAATCGAATGTTTTTTGAATTATTCAAATCGATTAATTCGTGTTGACGAAATCGTCGACAAAAATTTGTATTGGAACACACACACACATACATCCATTTTTTCCAAGGTATGCCAAAATGTTCAGAAACCTTTGAAACGTAAAATACGTAAAAAAAATTATTTTCGATTTTTTGCGATTACTATAACTTGCCTTACGGAAAGTTAAAAAATAATTTGTTAAGGGAGTATTCTATAGTGTAGAGGTATGAAATTGAAGTCATTTTTAAATTATCGTAAGATGACATTTTTTGCTATTATTATTTTTATAATTTATTTATCAACGTTACAAGAGTACAGAAAAAAGTAAAAAATAATAATTTTAAGAATTATCAGTTGTTAAAGTGGGGGTTCACAAAACATAATTGTGTCCACGATTGCAACCCCCCTACAAATCCGAAATGAAGAAAAAAAATTAATTTAGAATTATGTCGCAATGACATATACTAGAATTAGGTTTTAACCTTGTTTTTGACAAAATGGCAACTGTTTGAGAAAAAAGACCATTTTCTTGTCACCAGAGTTTCAATTTTTTTAAAAATAGTAAAAATTAAAATTTGGGAATGGGGCTGATATATGAGAGAGAAGGCTGTAGAAACGATTCTCCAAATATGTCACGTGACGTGATAAATCGTGGACATCGTTTAAAAACGCATTTAAAGTTTCGCAAAAGGAAGGAAACAGAGAAGATCATCATAGTCAAAAAGCTGTATCTCAAAAAAAATTAATTTAAAAAAAATACTCTCACACACATATTCTTTAATAGTTATGCTTTGAAAATATGAAGAACAAAAAAAATGATTTTTTGGAATTTCTACACAAGAATACCACCGTTTTTACGTTTTTCTAATTTGCAAAATTTCAATAGAAAATTAAAAACTTGAAAAAGTATTAAGTGCTTTGATCAATCAAAAAATCGTTTAAAAAGTTTGCGGCAGTAATATATAATAAGTAAAATTTGAAAATCATGCAGTAGTACAATAAAAAAAACTAGAATTCTCAATGAACAACATGTCGTCCAGGGATGACAACCTTAGCAAAAGGGTTAAAGAAATTGAAGAGAATATATGAAATTATATTTACATATACACACATTTAGAGTTTTATAATATATAATTTTTCAGACCTGTTATTCAGCAGCCATCGCCGCCGTTTATAGCGCCGGGCCCACCACCTAGCTATGCGGTAACACATGGCCTATATATGGATTTACCAATTGCGATATTACATTCGAATAGTAAGTGATTTATCTAAAATATCTGACTAATATATAAGTCTATCGTCCTTTCGTGGATCAACTCCACTTTTGGAATAACTTTGTTTAGGCATCAAAGCACTTGTTAAAATCAGGTCTTTTCATGTTTATATAAACATTACTGAGTAAAATATGAAGACTGTGTTACAAAACTCAAAATATTAATATATTCATACAACACAGCAACAACACAGCTTTTAAGCACCCTCTTAATTTTATTGAAACTTATTCAAAGTAGGGAAATAAGAGCTGATTGTGAGTCATTTAAAATGAAAATTGTATAGCAGGTCCATTCACTAATTGCTTAACGACTCGTACTCTTCCAAAATTGAGCAGGTAGTTCGCAAAAGTTTAACATAGATAAGCTATTGTCATATATTCAAGATTGAATAGTGACAATAATAATATAGAGAATAAAATGGACTGACTAAAATTGATTACACGTGTCAAACACGCTCATTACAAGAACAGATCAAACTCCAAATAAAGGCGACGAACAAAACTTCATATTTATATTGCTAATAAAACAAATGGTCTAATTAGTCAAAATTAATATTTTACAACAGAACCCTCAAAAAGCATTTTTAAGTTAAAGCATTAGTTGCAAAAATGTAAATTAAAATACGCGAGTTCAGTCAGGATACTAAATTTATTTAACCCTTTCGTTACGGAAGTGCTTTCCGCAGGAGTGTCGTTGCTGTACGGGAACAGCGTGGCACTCAGTTGCACTACTTAACGGACAGGTAATATCAATGAAAATGTGTTAAAAATCCAAAATCGCGCTTCTAATAATCTAGAAATTACAATAACAGACTAGAATTCTCAATACTCAGCGGTAAATCTTGAAGTAAAGGCAAACACGACATGTGGTCCAAGAACGTCATCCGTAGCAAAAGGGTTAAATCTACTGTTTACTACCACTTAAAACCTTTGGTTAATCGTTCTTTTTTATCCATTGCTTCTATAAAATGGTTCCGGTCTACGTCAAGACCGCCTGTCTTTTATTTACGGTATCGACGCAGACCAAAACATATTGACAAATAAGCTTAATTTATAGTTGCTTTAGATTTTTTTATTTGGTACTACTTTTCAAATCGACATAAGGGGTTAGGGGTACTTGGAATTTTTGAAAAATCGATTTTTATTTTTTGCATTTTCATTTAGTGCATTATCTTGAAAATGTTCTCTGAAAATTTCAAGTTGATCCAATGAATACTTTTTGAGTTATTGGACTCTTACCAGCGCGCTGATGCAAGTGGAGAGCTCGATACTTATACTCAAGATTATTTTCCCTCGCCTCCTGATGTTTTAGAAGCTTTTAAACCGATGTACGACGATCTCAGCAATGATAATTTACTTTCAAGATGTGTTAGTTCAAGATTTTAAATCCATTATCAGAAAAAATTAAAAACTTCAACCAACTAGTGTAAAAAATACGCCTAAAAATCGTGAATACTAGTTCTACTATCGTACAAATTGCTAATACGTATAAATATCGTACAAATACATAATCATTATTATTGATTGTGGGTATAATTCCCATTGGTATGCTGAAAAATTGGATGCTGCACGTGTAAAAGTGGCAGATCAGCGCGCCAACGCGACCACTCGGGAGGCCAGAATGCTTCGTAGGCAACAGCAAAGGGAAATTTTGGAAACTTGCACAAAAACTGATGAACTATTATATGGCCCAGAAATAGATGACTCGGTTTAAGTAATTCAATAATTCGAATTTCTGTACGTAAATCCAATGTGAAACTTTAAACACGTTTTTTTCTCAAAACTATGTTTTTTGAACCGGTGACCACTGTAAATCAAAAACCGCTTAGTAAATTTCAATGAAATTTATACTGCTTTTAGAATGCATAATAAACTCGGGCCTGACCAAAGGATTTTTATTTTTTCAAAAATTTTAATTTTTTAGGACCAATTAACTGTTGATTTTGTACCCAAAAATCTAGAAATTTTATTTTTAATGCTGCCATTTTGTTAGTTTTTGCAGAAAAAGAAAACCTTCCATCAGGCCCAGGATTATCTATTTACAAAACTATTTTTTTTATTTGATTGATTTTAGATGAATCTCTAAGGAGTTATGATGGTCACCGCCAGGACCGTTTTTTGAAACAGGGTCAACAAAAACAGCTATAACTTTGGGAATATTAATTTTTTTTTCTGAATATATGGTAACTTCAAGTCAAAGCATTGTATAATGATGCCGTATTAATATTTTTGTAAAAAAAATCGTTTAATAATAAAAAAACAATACTGAAAATTCTCATTTTTTCGTACCTCCAAGTACCCCTAACCCTATAACTCATTGAAATATATATCAACACCTAATTTACATATATATATATATATATATATATATATATATATATATATATGTATGTACATAAAAACATAATCAATAGGCATTTATTAGGTAGTTCAAATGCAACACATTGGAGTCCGCGACCTCTTCCCGTTGTGTGTCCGCGGTGCGCGGCGTTGGTTGTGACCGATACCAGATCACGCCAGGCGATGATAACGCACCTATGCGCGCTAACTTTGTGCCTTTGCGGATGTTGGCCCTGCTGTTTACTGCCATATTGTGAGTTCATCCATACAAAATCTCATTATCAGTCACAAAATTATTAATTATTTTCTAAGACAGTTAAGTTATTTACAGTTATTAAGTCGAAGCGTTTATTTGGAATTACAAACTCGTTTACTTTAGAATTTAAATCCGCGTAATAGAGTCTTACTTAAACGGCCGAATTATTTACTGTTTGAATGCAATTAATAGTCAATTCAATCAAGATTCTGATGTGGTAAGTTGAAATCAGCGCAGTTAATCTTTAAGACATATTTTTATATTTTTGTATTTGCAACTGAGATTGTTTGAATAAAACATAAATAATAGAATGAACTTTTGCCGCAAAAGACTTTCAAATAATATCTCATTCGTGGTAATAGATATGGAGATAAACAACCTGCAACCAGTTGCAAGGTGTGACAGTGATGACAGATAGTTCATTAAAAATAAAGGTTTACAACTATAAAATGAGATGCATTTTGAACTGGGTATATTTTATTTGTTTAAATATTTCCAACACCTCTTTAACTCTTATTTTGCAAGCTTTGCATCACAAACAAACCATGAAATATATTGATACGTGTGTAGGTTCTAAGTACTTTCAGATACATTATTTGACAAGAGGTTTCGCATCATGTCATCTATACTGACTCTTGTCAGGGCGAGCCGTTAGATACTTTTAACAATAAGCACTATTTTATTTAGGCGTAGTACGGATAAAGTCAAAGTCGCATCCACTACTAAATACCGCAGATGCACGGACTTTTAATCCGACAGGCGGTTAGAGATTGCGCAAGACATCTTGCGACGAGATACCGGTAATATCGCCCATCCTTATCGCGTCTCCTTGGCCTTTATGTTAAACAAAATTCATATAAGATCTGCTGGATCATTTGCACAAAATATAATTATATTATAGTAGATGATGTATTACTAAATGCTTAATATCCCCAAATAAAAATAGAGTTTATCTTCTTAAAATGATTCGACTTCGACATCATAATGGTTCATGCGTCCGTTTTATATGATCCTTACCTACATTCGCAACAGAATAAACCAAAACTCTCGCAATTTTACAGTGGCATATGTTTCCAAAATAACCGAACAATTATTTTCGAAAATGAGTTTTCAAGAATTTGTTGCATTTTTAACGCGCTATTTTGTTTCATAGTAGGAGAGAATGGGTACGGTTGTGACACTTCTGGGAGAAAAGTAAATTAAATGGTAACTGGAACATTTGCCCAAGTAGAAATACTGAAATACTGTCCTTAAATACGATGTCATAAAATCGAATCGGTCTCCCCTAAAGGCGCCTGCCAAATCTTAGTGTGCTTTAATAAATTCTTCACCCGTCAATATATAAATTCACGATTATGGTAGCAAGTTTTAATTTTATATAAGATCGTCGTTTGTAGTCGTGTTAAATGTAAACGACATCTCTCATTGACGATATACTGAAAAACAGATTATGCAATTAATAAGCGACCCTCTGAATTGCCTCAGAACAAAACCGAAAAAAGTGAATTATTAAAGAAATCAAAATTCGATTAAGTTTTGAAGTGAATTTAAATATTCGATGACCTAACACAAAAATAAATTTATATTTTTTTTTATTTCCAGGTATGGATTCGTGCAAAAATACTTATCATACATGTCCTGCTTGTCAACATTATTTGGGAACTTATACGCCATGGTAGCACGTATTTTGGATTTATCTGTTTAATTTTTTATTGTCTAATGTCAATGCATAAACAAAATGAATTTAACAAAGAAATTAAGAAAATAAATAAAATTATATCATATTAAAAATTCGTAGTTTCATTTTGTCATAAATTAGGATTTTCGTACTCTTTTATTTAGAATTGAAACGAACAAATATTTTTTTATACATGTAAAATGTAAATATATTTTTTAACCGTTTTTCGTCTCTTGATTTTTAATGTAAACATTGTAAATAAAAAAAATAGTTTTTGATTAGAATTATTTGTATAATATTAAAAACGATAACATCCATTACAAAATAAAAGAATGCATACGTCATCAAAAAATAAAAGCGTAAAATTTAATGAACGAGAATTTGGTGCAAGTTCGTCAAAAGCAGACGTATATTACAGTGAGCAAGTAGTACAACGGGTAAGTAATTACAATTTAATTTTAATTTCCAATATTTTGACTCCAACAAAAAAAATAATTCACTGATTTAAAAAGGATGAAATTCGCTATTTCAAATTTCAAGAAGAAATTAATAAAACTCGCGAACGTCGAAGAACAATTTCATTCAAGAACGAAGTCTTTTCGAATCTGAGAAGGTATTCGTTCGATTTATATATTTGTGAATGCAATAAATAATTTCTAACAATTTAAATATTTAATAACTATTATGAATAAGACCAAATCTGACAGAATAGGCTGGTGAGCAGTTTTCAATAATCAAAGGTTAGGATTGAAGCTAATATTTACGTGAACAACAAAATAACACACTTACAAGACAATAACAAAACATTGGCATTTAAACATTTCGACGCTAAGTTAAATCAACTTATGATTCAAATGTTAATTTGAACAGTTGAATTTGATAAATTAACCCTTATTTGAACTTTTTTACACGCAAGCATTACTATAGACAGTTTAAAAAACGTAAAAAATTTACGCAATATCCAGTTGACAGAAAAAAGTGCAAATTAATCCTAGATGGTACTACTTAAGTACAGAATTGTCCAAACTGGCAATTATCACAAATTAAGAATAAGGAGAAAAATGCATTTTGTAAATCTCATTAACATATCTCGAATTGAATAATAAATATATTTAAAATGTCAAAAAATGATGTTTAATTGCAATATTTTATCCGCAAGTGAAGATGCAGGCATATACTGCAAGCAGGTATTAACTAATACTTTAAAATTTTCATAAATTGTGAAATGTGAAGGGTAAATTACAATACTAAGCGACATTCCTAGCCGCTGCAAATTTTATTGCACGGGATTTATCATAAGATATCGTACGGCACAAAAAGAACAAATGTACAAAATTGCGCCTTGCCTATTTTCAAAGAACATGATTTTTTTAACTTGCTGCTGTAAATATAATATATTACACATATGCACAATGTATGTACTATATGTATAAATTTAATTCTGGGGAGCAGCAAATCACTTCGCAGCCCTTGAGAAACAGCCAGTTCTATGAAGAAGAAGAGGAAAATGAATTAAATGAAACAAGCAACGAATTGGTGGAAAAATATAGAAACCATAGTAACTCAGGCGGCTTAGGACCATTTTCTCGAAAACTCAATTGCCCTCTGTGCGGAGCTGACACACATACGGTCGTAGAAGAAGTGCCCAGCTGTAAAACCCATTGCTTAGCAGCAATATTATGCATTACTTGGTAATTTCGTAATGAATTTGCTTAATACTTTATTCATTATACATGAGTTGAATGCTGCAATTATATACATTATAATCTCTAAATATGTTATAATTTTTAATAATTAATAAGTATTATTAGCATCCGGTAGAGTAAGTTAAGTAAACGCAGAAAAATGGAAAATGAAAATGTTTGCATATCTTTACGTTTCAAAAGTTTCTGAACGTTTTGGCATACCTTATAATTAGAAGAAGAAAAAATATGCATGTGTGCGCGTTTTATTTTAACAAATTTTCGTTCACGATTTGTGGCGCACTGATCAACAGACTTGAATGATTTAAAAAATATTTTACTGGAATTAATATTTTATTACATTTTTGCGAATGCAGGTCTAGCGGTTTTGGAGTGGCAAACATTGACATTTTTCAAACAAATATGATCTTTGCAGATTATTATTGATTTATATACAAGAAGAATTATTGGTAGATAGGTAGAGAATGTAGACAAGTGAACAGCTAGAAAAGTAGAAAAGTAGAAAAAAAGAAACGCAGACGGAGGTAAGCAGGTTAGGAGTTGTAACTTGTAGGCAGATATACAGTTACATAACAGGCAATCATCTAAAAAAGTAGAATAGGAGACATGTATACAGATAAACAGACTGATAAACTGGTGAACAAGTAGGCAAGTAAACAGGTGAATAGGTAAACAAGTGGACTATACAGATAGATCATATAAATATAAAAAAATATTATTGAATAAATAGATTATTTACACATACCGGAAAGTTTATGCAACTTGCCCCAAGGCGACGTGCCACATACACCTAGAATTTGGGCACATAGATAGCATAATAAAAATATATGTAGAAGTACAAAAATATAGATATTTACTTTAAACATTATTTGAGAAATTGTGGCTAAAAAATAGCTGCAAAATTTCGATAATTTTATTCATAGATAAATAATTTAAAATTATTTTTTTTTTGGAAAATTTTGTCTAAATTTCTATTAAAAAATTTATCAAACCGTACAATTTAATTTAATCATTCGTCAGATATACATAAATAGAACAAATAGAATGTCAAGAAAGATAAAATTTCAGAATATATTGTTTTTTATGTCAAAATGCTTAATAGAATTAATCTGATATGAATCTTTCTTCCTGTACTTTTTGTAACTTGTTGCTGACTACATAAAAACTTGATTCACAAGCCATATATTCACCCATAAAATTTTGCAGTTTTTCCACCAAAACGTCACTAATTATTGCTTTCATTACTAAGCATTTGATTTAAAAATGGTTTTACATATAGTTCTTCCACATTTAAATAATTTTATAGTAAAAATTCACTTACCTTACTTGGTACATAAAATTTAAGTGTTACTTCTTTTAGAAGAAGGCAATACATGTTTCTTGCAACCGGTGTCTTCCACTTTCTGAAATATAGTTGTGTTATTTATTTTTAAGTTAATCCAATTAAAATTATTGCTTAGATATATTTGTCTACATGATTGTGCATTATGCTTAACTTAAATTAGGTTAAATTTTTTTCATGTATGCTTACCTATACTAAGTTTTATACATAGTAATTTTTTAAGTATCCAACCAAGGCTCTCGCTATTTTGAAGGCCAGTATATTTTTCTGATCACCATAAATATCTAGATATAAAATGGTAATATGCTCGAACTGCAACGCTGTAAGAACAAAATATAATGAGTAAAAATATTTCTTTGTGACATGTTACGACTAGATCAAATCAGTAACTATGCATACCTTAAAGACAGCAGCTTACAAATATTATTGACTGTATCAGATTACACTACACCAACAAGTTTACTACTTCGCATGAGAGATGCCTATAACTTGGAATATGGTTCAGCAAAGCTTGTATAAAAACAAAATATATAATATTTAGATGTGAATAAGAAAAATGTAATCTTGAGATCTTTATTAATAAAACGCAAGTCTTCATACCACAAGCTATTATCAATATTTACTAAACTTCAAAATAACTTATTAGGCATCTTCCTAATGAATATGTTTATATACAGGATATAAATGAATTTTGGTTTTTAATAAATATTTCCATATATACAGAATTTGTCGAGACCCACGATAACGATGAGCCTTATGGTTGCTCGTCGCTCTTGCAAAGCAAATTTATATAGGTGTTCTGGTGCCGGCAGCGCGTGTACTAGCTTAAGTTTTTCCAACTTTTGACCACAAAGTTCCACTAGATTTACATTGAAATTTTGAATAACACATAAAAAATGTACAGGCTTTCGAATGATGTTAATTTAAAAGTAGTCCAAAGAGCCGCACTGATAGGAAATGAAAAATTATTTTTACCTTTTCATACACTAACAAATATTTTTTCGCAATATTTGATATGAACAGCATAGACAAGATCAATGTGAAGAGAATGACATTAACATTTTTTCGATATCTTTTATATTTCCGTCAAAAACTGAGTTTGAAAAAAGGGGGCCACTTTCACATGTTTTCACTGATATCTCAGCCAAATGATGAGATAGGGAGGAAATTGGTGTATTGTATTTTTTTTAAAAGACCTATAAAATGGCACCAATAAAAACCATTTAAATACCAAAGTGAGGCTGATTTTGTATGGAAACACAAACATACCCTTTGGGCGATTATAACTAATGATGGACGCATATGATTTTGTCTAAACTTTCAAAGTAAATAATTACACAAGATCAATTAAAATAGTAATATTTATTTATTTCATTTATATTTTGTTCACAGTTGCTGTTACTTTAGCTTGCAGCCTTATACTTCAAGAAAGTATCATAATGTCAAACATTACTGTAAGAGATGCGATTTCTATGTTGGCACTTGTATCAATAATGAACCTATTTGTCGTAAGTGTAGTAAATCATAATAAAAATTTGAACTACCTTGTAGCACAATTTATTATATTATTTAACATATATATATATATATATATATATATATATATATATATATGTATATATATTTGTATTTGGAAGCTCAATAGATTTTGTGTTTAAAAACTAATGTATTAATTAAAATGACTTGTATCAAACTGGATATAGTTGTAACTGTACTTATAGTAGTTATTACAACATACAGAATCACACTATTACTATATTTTTATATAAAAATAATTCAATAAGCAATTTAACAAATGAAGAATCAATTATATTAAATATATTGAAATCTATTTAAAAGTAACGCTATTTGTATTGAAGTTTGTACTCATAAGATTATCAAAATGCAGTAGGAAGTCTATTAACATAATATGTAAGTTCATGAAAAGTGAACAACACACAATTTACGTGTTAAAAAAACATTTTCCACATCATGACATGTAGATTTTGTAGTCTGCATATATATGCAACGTAAAGAACAATGCAATGAAAGTCTACGATGACAATTTAGAGTCTTTAACATGACTTGTAATTAAATTACGAATACTGGAAATTACATATACATTATTAAACCTTATACTTGTAAAAAAATATAATTCAATATATTTTTCATGTTACATTTCGATATATTTTGTAAACGAATTTTTTGAAAATTCATAACAAAAAATTAACAACCGAGGTGCATTAGAAATTACAAAAATATTAAAACTAATTTAAAACAATTACACTAATTATACATTTTAAAAAAGGTATTTCAAAAACATTTCATAGCGCAGAAAACAATACACGTCTGGAGTTTCATTACACATCTTATCTTGTAAGAATAAAATAAATAGTAAGTTGTGATGGAGTTTCTCAAAATAAAAAAAAAAATTAAACGTGATCTGATCACCGCTTCGCGTTTGCTTTCATTGCAAATGCATTCAAACAACGTACAAAAGTGACGAAAATATATACAAAAGTCTAATTTATAGACTAAGCATATTTTAATTTTAAACAAATTAATATCTACCCAAAACCATGGCTAATAATGCCATTCTGATATACATTCCATATTCAGCTTGTCTGAAGTAAGCAGCTCTAGGATCAGAATCAAACTCCTTGGAAATTTCAAACACTCTTGGAAGCGGATGCATTACAATCATACGTTTCTTAGCCTTGGTCATTAGCTGAGGTGTTACGACAAATTCTCCACAAGCCTAAAAATTGGCAATTTAAAATAGAATTATTAAAGAAGTACGCCGTTCAGTTATACACCACTCACCATATATTACAAAAAAAAAAACAAATAGAAAAATTTGTTTAAAAAATAGTTGCTGTATGTTATTTTTCTACATGTCGAAACCAAAGACACCAAAAAATGGTTCTCCAAGTGGATCGAAAGAAGCATTTGCATTATATATATATATATATATATATATATATATATATATTGCAGAAAGTTTGCGTAAGTACCTGCTCATATTCCTCCACTGATTCAAATCTCTCCCTTTGTATCCGAGTCATATATAATACATGTGTATCAGGCAAAACTTCTTCCAGCGTTTCACAAATTCTCTGTGGAATTCCTTTTGAATCAACATATTGTACAATATGCTTAGGCATTCCAAGACCCTTCGGACTGACGTAGCGTAATTGAATATTGTATAACGTCAACAAACGAGCCAATGAGTGTACAGTACGACCATTTTTCAAGTCGCCGACCATAGTTATAGTCAAACCATTAACGGTACCAATTTCTTCACGAATAGTAAATATATCAAGCAACGCTTGAGTTGGATGTTCGCCAACTCCATCGCCAGCATTTATTAATGGCTTTCTACAGTGCGCAGCCACTTTCTATTAAAACAAACATTGAATAATATGTTATAAGTTGCAGATAAAGATAAGAATTGGACAGCTTATATGGTTTAAGATATATAATGCATGATTTTAGAGAATACCATTCCATGTAACTATAGGGACGTACGTACATAATAACATGGTGTTTTGTTTTTTAATGATGATTATTCATATAATAATATTATATTATAACCATTGTCAGTCATTTTTACTCATCTTTCTTTCTTTAACTACCAGTAAGATAGCATTTTAATTAAGTAGGAACTATAATAACATATTTATTAAGAAAAATGCAATCTATTACAAAAACCATTTTGTCCATATAGTACGGACAAATATAGGGTAGGGACATACTGAGATGCTAATTTTTAAGGAAGCAGTTTACAAGTAAATCGTTTCGTCCTCTTTCGGACATTAGCACATGACGCATGAACCCAAAGGGTACCAAATATATAAAAATAGTGACCAAATCTCCGCCTGGCTCAGAACGGAAAAAGGCGGTCTTGCAATAAATGCAAGTCTCTTCTTTTTACTAGTGGATCTTTTGCTCTGTTTTAGCAATTATTTCTTGCATATTTGGAGTAGAAGTTAAAAAACCTTAGACAGGTTTTAATTTTTTCTGAGTCCATACTTTACATACTTGTGAAATAGTATTATGTCATTTTGTCCATTGTACAAGTATGTCATTTTGTCCGAAATTGAACGAAAACTAATAATTAAAATTCCACTAAGAATCTGATTATATTATAGCTATAAAATTGATCGAAATCACTAAAACTGGCATAATTTAATTAATTTTAATTGACATAACTACGAATATCAATAAATAGGTCCCCAAAGAAACATGAAAAAACACCTTCAAACTAAACTTTCCAAGGCGCGAAGCACATTCGAACTGATTACTTCAAGAAAACTGTGACAATGACGCTCAACATCTGACAGGATTGTTATTATTGCTTTCTTTGTGTTATACAGTCGCGGAAACGTGAATAAAACTAGCCATTTTTTAAATAAGGCCACTATGTCATTTTGTCCATATTTCCCCAACACTATACACAACACGATGTTCATACCCATATTTAAAGTTCCTTATTACAACACTTCAGAAATTTACAAATTTCTAAAAGAAAAAAATAGATAAATTCAAAGAATGTTTTAAAATTTAAACATATTTCGCAGTAAATACTTGTTGATTTTAGCTTTGCGAACAAATTATCAAAAAAAAACAAAACAAAGGAAAAAATAACAGCAGTTACAATTATAAGCTATAAAATTTTTGATCTTGATCTTCTACTCCACTATTCAAGTTACGCGCGGGCTTGATGAAATACGAAAATTGATAAAAATATTGTCAATGTTTGAAAACACAAAGTAAAAAAAAAATAAAATAGTTAAAAAAGTACTCACAGCTACTGCTCCTGGTTCTGGATGGCGAAGTACAATTACATCCGAGTAACCAGCCATGACAGAAACAGAATCTTCTAGAGTTTCGCCTTTCTTAGCAGATGAGCTAGTTTCATCTATATGGATCACTCGGCCTCCGAGCCTCTGCATTGCAGCAGCAAAGCTGCAGCTGGTACGAGTACTCACTTCATAAAAGATAGAAGCCATTACCTTACCGCGCAAAATTTCATCTACTGGTCGATCTTTGACAACGCGAGCTTTGATATTTTCAGCCAAATTGAAAATATCATTTAATTGTTCTTTGTTGAACATGTCTACAGTGAGAATATGTTTACCAAACAATGCATGACTAGTGCTAGCTTCACGAATAAATGTTCCACTGTCGCACCTCTGGCGTGGCATGAATGAAACGGGTGATAAAGTTCTCAGCGCTGCATTTTCTGAAGCAAAATGCACACCTAATTTAGCATTACTTTCATTATTCAACAATTTGGTAAACATTTCGTTTGTCCGATTTTCGCTTTCCCAATCACCCGCACGAATTACTTCGGTCGGCAATTCTGGAGATAAAACTTTTGTTGTTTCAACAATCGGAATTTTCTTTTGTCTCCATTCACGAACGTTTTGACCAAATCCAGGTTGCAATAAAACTTGACCTTCAACATATGCAATTTCACCGCGTAAAACCACACGATGAACTGATCCTCGTACCTGCATTCCTGAAAATGGCGTCCACCCTGCTTTACTGTAAGCCATTGCATTCGGAATCACCCAATCATCATCTAAATCGACTTCGACGTAAGTATCAGGTTGATCGGGCAAGTTAAAAATACGTTTTGGATTTTTGTGAAATTTGTTGATGATGTCATCTAACGTGAGTCTGCCTTCGTGAACAGCATTTAGCAGAAGAGGCAGAATAGTTTCTAACCCGGGAAAACCAGGAGGCGCCTTTTCAGATCGTTTCTCCTCCAGAATGTGTGGAGCATGATCAGTAGCAAATACGTCTATTATATTCATGTTGTCCCACAATGCTTCTTGGTCTTCAGGCGAGCACAAAACAGGCCTGACTTCACTTTCTTTATAGCCTATGCGTTGCAAATCGTCAGTGCTAAGAAAGAGATGATGCGGGCACACTTCACAAGTAACCTTAATTCCTCTCTCTTTGGCTTGACGTATCGCCAAAATTTCTTCCTTCCGCGCCACGTGGCAGATATGCACAGGACGGTCTAGCACATGTGCCAAGAATAAAACTGCAGCAGTAGTTTGTGATTCAGCATGAACACAGAGTGGATATTTTCGAGGCCACGCTGCCATATGTTTGTGCCAAATCGTCATATTAGGCAAGTGTAGAGTACCGTATGTGTGATTCAAGTACATTTTTAGAGCAGCGGCAGCGGGGGCAAGTTCATGCAGCGTGGAAAAGTTATCATGGGCCGCACCGACGAATAATGCGTAGTCACAGCGAGCATCCTGGCGCGCAAGTTCCAAAGCGATGTTGAAATTTTCGGCATTTACTATGGCGGGATCCGTGTTAGGCATAGCACAAACAAGGGTAATACCACCTGCCAGGGCAGCGGCGGTGCCACTAGCAAAGTCTTCCTTATGTGGAGCACCAGGTACTCGCAAATGGGCATGTACATCTATAAAGCCTGGCAACTTTACAATTCTACGCGATGTCATACAATCTGTGTGGGTCTTCATAATTGGTGGAGTCCTTCCAATAAGTCTTAGCGCCTAAACATAGGAAAACAAAGCCACATAAAAATAAAAGTCATCAACTTTTATAAAAAGCATATTACTGTTATTTATCCATATCATTGCAGATAATACCACTACAAGGTTTAGTCATATCGACCGAACAGTAAAATAAATAAATAAAAGTATCCTTGATTTCCTTAATAAATTTCGAACAATTAAAAATTTACCTCAACAAAAAGCTTGGTACATTTAACATCGGTTATCAGTGGAATAGAATAGTCAACAGCTAGTCTTCTTGTACGATAACCGTGAGTCATGAAAGAAGAAACACGCCTCGCTCCTCCATTTCGCATTGGCAAATTAATTATTAAATCAAAATGTTTATTAGCTAGAAATTCGGCTAAGTGTTTGAGCTCTCCCTGACTGGTGAGATCATCTAATGCGTCAAATGTCCATTGAACTGATTCTACCTGAAAGTATAAAATAAAACATATTGAGAAAAAATGGACAGTCACACTAGCTAAAAAAAAAGTCAGTATATGTAACATTAACCCTCTATGGGCCCGCCAAACTTCTAGATTACATTCCAAAATTTTCTATATTTTACCAAATAATCCACGTTTTCGTGGGATTACGCATAAATCTTAATTCCATAATGTTATGAGACGACCAATATCAATACATATTTATGACTTTTGCTAGGCTGAAATAACATTTTCATACACAAAAGTGCGAAAATTTAGACTTTAATAGACTTATTACTAAGTAAGTAGAAATGTTAATATGAAAACTTTACACTAATTTAGTAAAATCATTTCCCAAGTATTTAATGCGGCAACATTTTTAAAAATTCAATAAATTCGCATTTAGGATGAGTGTGCAACTAATGACTCGTCACACAAAGATTAATTAAAATTCCCGATTTTTTTTTAACTTCCCATAGGTTAGTTATAGTAATGGGAAAATGAAAATTTTTGCAATTTCTCATTGCATGTTTTGATGGTTTCTGAAAATTTTGGCATACCTCAGAAAAAATGGATGTGTGTGTGTTTTGTATGTCCGCATTTTTTCGTCCACGTTTTCGGGCGCACGGATCAACCGCTTTTAATGGTTCAAAAAACATTCGATTCCTATTGATAGGGAGATGTGCTGATCAAAAAATTGAGCTTTTGAGAGAACGGAGTATCCGATTTGAATGATCTAAAAACCATTCAATTTGTAATGATTGGGAAAAGAGGTGATTAGATTTTGACAAAGGCAAGTCCAGCCATTTCAAGGATACAGAGCTAAATGTCTAAAAAATGGCAGTTTTTGAGAAAACTAAGCGTCCGATTTGAATGATTGAAAGAACTTTCTGCTTGTTTCAACAAAATAATTGCTTTTGGAAAAAAAATATTGTTCCAAAAATGTTTTTTCAAAAAAAAATTTTTTTTGTATATTGAAAATAATACAGATTTTAAATTTAATTTTGACTAAAGTTCTAATATACTTTAAACAAATAATTTCAGCTTTGTAATTCAGTTTATATAATTCTTATAAATATTAGACAATGTTACAATATTTATAAAAATCTATTTGAAAACATTTAATATTCCTCGAACATTTCGTTACGATACGGAAAGTACCAGCAATTTGCCTTAAGGCACGAGGCCATACACCACTAGTTGAATTTTTAATATCGGTTCAAGTTTTTTGGCTAAAACATGAACAAAAAATTACGCACTTTTCTGATAGTTCGAAAGGAAGGGGTCTAACTAAGCTAATTCTCATCGAGTTACATCTAATATAATTTTCGAACAAAATTTAATTTTTTTAAAACGGTTCGGCAATTGTTAAAAAACAGTCGATGCTAGATAAAAAAAATCGGCTCACATACACACATACATATATACACACAGACACTCATACTTTTTCCAAATTTGGTCTCATTGACTCGAAACGTCAAAAAACATAAAATTATCTTATCGGATATTTTCGCGAGAACATTACCTTCTCCTTTAGGAAGTTAATAACTTCCAAGAAAAATTATGGCAATTGCATAAAAATCATGCTTTTATACTAGAATTCAGGGAATTCTTGTTAAATGTGGGGGACGCAGGAACAACAACCACCTCTTTGATAATTTTGTCGAAGTCAGCACGATTCCCAACTAATGTCTTTCGAATAGTTTTTGAATTTTCAAAAATCGGCTCAGGCGAAAAAAATGCACTAAACTGGCAACCATAAAAAAATGAAAATTGTCAACAAAAGGTAATATTTTAGTTTTTTGAGACCATAATATATACATCAGAAAAGTTTCATTAATCGTCAAAAAACATTTACAAAGAAACGGGTCGGCAGTTTTTCGCAAAAAAAACTATTTTTTTGTTCTATTGTACTTAGCAAACTATACACACTTAACTTAACGCGATTTCCAATGGATATTCTCCGAATAGTTCTTGAATTTTTAAATCAGTTCAGGGTTTTTTTTTTGTTAAAGCGTGGACGAAATATTTTGCACCATTTTGCTAATTTTAAACTAATCAACGTGAGTCATCAGATCACATCAAAACCACATTTATTTTTTAAATGTGAGGTTTATGCTTTTATCTTGTGATATTTAAGATGGTCAAAATATTTTTATTAAGTGGTTACCGAAATGTTTTGTTTGTCACAAAATAAGTTTAGTTAGTGGTATGGCGTCGTGCCTTTAGGCAAATTGCCTGAACTTACTGTACCGAAAATTTAATTTTTTAAAAAATATTAATTTTTTCAAACTTTGAAAAAAAAATAGATTTGAGAATTTTTAATTTTTTGAAAAAAAAATTGTAAAAAATGTTTTTCTTTATTTTGACATATTTTGGAAACTTTGAACTTTTTTTCAAAGCAATCGCACTACTTTAGCTGCATAGAGACAAAACATCGAAGCGCGTAAGCGCCGCGCCGCCGTTTAACGCACAAACGACGTTACGGAACCCATAGAAATGTAAAGGAAATTGATACACATTATTAAAATCTTCATAAAATATCTGATAATTTGATGTGCATATGTCTAATGATCATTTTAGACCGCCAAATTGCATTTTTTTACTTTATGAACTAGATCTGCGAAACCACTAGACCTTGCCAGAAATTTAATCAGTTCTTAATCTTGTCAATACAAGTAAAATGTTTTTTATATTATTAATAAAAACGGAGTTACCGTTTTTGGCGCTTATTGCCCCGTATCTTCGGAACGGCTGGACCTGCCTTCGCCAAAAACTAATCAGCACGTCTTATCAATATAAATCGAATGCCTTTTGAATTATTCAAATCGGTTGATCGGTGTTCCCGAAATGTCGATGAAAATTTGTATCCGCACGCACACACACACACACATACATACATCAATTTTTTCTAAGGTATGCCAAAATATTCAGAAACCTTTGAAACGTAAAGAAATATTAAATTTTTCATTCTCGATTTTTTGCGATTACTGTAACTTGCCCTACGGAAAGTTAAAAAAAAATAATAATAAAAAAAACTAAAAGGGTAAGGCATAACTAAATAAATTAAATATAAAAAAATGATTATGCATGTCATAAATCGCTCGAGCAATGTAAAATGCTAATTAATAAATTTGAAAGTGCTGAATTCAAACTATTATAAATATAAAGTTTATTCTAACAGAATCAAATCTCTTGAGTTTAGTTCCATTGGCTGTTAATTCTTTCTTTAGCAGAATATCTGAATTCTTATGTTGATCTACGCACCTTGAAAAACGATTTTTTTTGTTTGTAACCTTTCTTATGCGATTAGTCTGATTAAAATCAGATTAAAGTATATAAATCTAAATGACAAGTAAATATCATATATAATAATATATATGCTTAAATATATATTTAATTAATCATTGACATTTTTATCGCATTTACGTTTTATCAAAATATTTGATAACATATCACGAATTCGATTATAAAACAAAAATTCCATTAAAATTCTTTTACTACCGGTTTTATGATATCGAGGCGAATAGATTTCGATGGAAGTTTAAACTTCAGTTAAAAACATAGATAAACATGATCCATTAATAATAATATTAGCATGACAAACAAGTCAATTTGCAAGAATTTTTTCGTCAATTTGGCAAAAGTAGCATGAGATTTCTCTGTTGTTCTTGTTTAAACTTGAACATAAGCAAGAAGATTCTTGTTTATGACCAAGAATTTTAAAGGTCTATGTAGTAGCATTTGTCCAAACAAACATGTCATACAAATATTGCAATTACAAGCACAGAATTTTCGATTTTAAAAATGAATTTATAATAGCATTAAAAATATTCACTAATATGAAATTTTACTGGTTATAATTTCAGGCAAAGCAGTATCATATTTTTTGTACATTATCAGGCTTAAATGAATTGAGATAATGTTATCTTCAAATCGTTAATGTAACAGGTTGAAATCTCCAATTGGTAATATAGTCGTTCGATTACATTCCGTATTGAAAGTGTTGCGCGTCATAATGGATAAAAAGAAGAATTCTATAAATTTATAATTGTAACACCAAAAAATGTATATAATGTAAATTTCGAACAATATAAACTCCTATTCAACTATATAATCTGAATAAAACCTCATTATTAGCGAATTAAACCCTGCTATTCGACAATGGGCAATTTATTCACAAGAAAAAATAAGAATGACGACAAGTTGCAAAAAAAAGATTCTGTTCAAAATAGTAAAAAAACGCTCTCGCCGAATGAAATATTAGAGCAAAAGGCACTGGAAGCCCTAAAATATCAAATGGAACATTCACCCGAAGAATTTGTACTTAATCAGTTGTTGGCATCATTCCAATTTTTTGCTAATTTTGAAAGGTTAAAATTTTTCAGTAAATAATTAACCTGCATGTAACCGGTTTGTGCTTAACTATGTGTGTGTGTGTATATATACATATATATGTGTGAAATGTACTTATACAAAATTATTGAAAAAATTTAACCAGTGTTGTGAAGCACTATGTTCACAGTTCACAAGAGTGTTGTATTAAAATACGACAAAAAACGTATAGAACTCGGGAAAAAAAATAAAAACAAAAAAAAAACTTTCAAACTTAAAAAATCTAGTTTTCTTGCAAGTGTTATATTATTCTGATTATTATTCGCATGTTCCAAGTAAATTGAATTCGATTGATAAATTAAAATCTATTGTTAAAAAATAATATGAAGGATACTTAATTCTACCGTCAATTTACTTAAGAATTAAACCATTGTAAAAATTGCATGAAAGATATATATAATTACATATATTTTATGTCGAGTGTTGGATTTGTAAATTTTGTGTTGATCTTCGAACAAGGTATCAAGTTGTAATTTTTTTTTTTTTTATTTCCATCTAAATTACAACTGCCTGAGAAGGCATTCAGTAATTGTTGTGATTAGTTATTAAATAAGTTTTTAAAATACTACCCATTGGTAGTATTTCAAGTTAGTATAATAAATATAAATATGTGACAATAATTGCAAGCAGATAATAAATATAAATATGTGAGAATAATTACAAGCACTATACTAAATATATAACTATGCTAAGTCTAGTGGATCAAGTTGTAATAAAAACCAACAAGTTTTTTAAAAATATTATGCATTTATTTAATGTTAACGTTTCGGAACTATGCGCGTTTTACTTTTAGGACATCCGGCAAGAATATGATTTTGATTAGAAGATAAACAAACAAAACTAAAGTAGTAAATAAAGATTAGTAGATTCAAACATAAATAATAAAATAATAAGTGAAATAAATCATAATATATACATATATATATATATATATATATATATATATATATATATATATATATAAATTAATTGAATAGCTTTTAGATAATCAAGATTATGTTCTTGACAGATATCCTGAAGATAAAACGTACATAGTTCCAAAACGTTGACACTAAATAACGTGTTTTTAAAATACTTGCTGCTTTTTTATTACGGCTAGATTTCTTGTTCAAAGATTTTAAAACATTTTCATTATTCGAGTTAATATAGTATATAAATATTTTCAATCAGTAGTCTTGCAAATCATTTGAACCAAATCAACGATAAATTTCAGGGACTGGTCCATAAAATTGAATGCACCGCAAATAGAGAAAACAGAAGCTACACTAAATGTTAAATTGGCTTCAGAAAATAAACGAGTCTTGCTCCCAGATATATTGCAAGAATCAGTTTTGAAACGGGTAAAATATAGAAATGAATCGAATGAAGAAAATACACAAGAAGCATTGCATCCGCTTAGAACAGTTTTAGTTCATGATGATATCGAAATTTGCAATGATGAGGATATCGACAGGGATTACGTCATGGTTCCAGATACGCCACTGTACAGGGTAGCAATGGAACCGTCAGAACATAAAGGTAAGCTACACTCGATATTAAATGACTATTTCCTGAAAAAAAAAAATATGTTTTTGACGCCTATATCGTTTCAATTTGTTATATGCAGATAAGCACTTATGTTGATACAAATATGCGCATGTTTCCCAATTTTATATTTATATAGATTAAGATTTAATATCTCAAAATCTTTTATTGTAGGTTTTATAAAATTAAGAAAGATAGAAATTTTGCAAAAGCGAGGTACTCCGCAATTTTGTACACGAAATGAAGCTCGAAAAGTGAAGTCATTTATTAAAAACAACAATGAAAAAAGCTCATCAAATATTGCAATAATGCGAAAGCAGAATGATCAGTATTCTAAAAAGGGTTCCGAAAAAAAACTAGTTAGTATAATCAAGAATAATGTTACAGAATCGGTGCAAAATTCTAGTCAAAAGGAAACTGAACCAGATTACGGCTATACAACTGTGTCGGCATTAACAACACCAAAACCATTGATAGATTTGATGGGAATAGAATCATATCATCGACCATATGTGGATTCTGAATATTGTTTAACGCAGGTTGAAGTAAAAAAAATCTTATCGCAAAACATTACTGACGTTACAAATTTAGACGAAATAAAACCATTATATGAGACAAAAGAATACCTAAATTCAGTTGCTTTTGGAGAACAATTTGCAAAAATATTTTCATCCCGATTGAGTAAACCTTTGGGTTACCGAATTGATACCCTAGATAAAGCAATGACTCGATTGGACGCAGCTGCAATATTTTGCAATCAATCTGCTATCGCTCATGAAATAATACCATCGGTTAGTACTAAATGGCCATATTGTGCTGAGGAATGGTTAACACGTCAAAGACAGCAGCCAGTATCGCACAGAGATCAGATTTGGCCAACAATTTCTATGATAAATCATGTCCATTCTTTGGATTGTCAATTACTGCCATGCGGATATATCGCAAAAAGGGGCGCCAATGCAGAAAGGCATTTGGAATGGAGAGCAACCTTTCCAGAGGCGGAAAGATACCTCCTCTCAACACTTCATCATTCTGAAGTTCGCTGTTACGAATTTATATTACTTCTATTTAGGAAGCTATTAGAACCAACTATTTCAGAAATGGAAGGAATTTCTAGTTACATACGCGCACATTTCTTTTGGCAATGCGAAATGAAAGTTGGTGTTTGGCGCGATGACAGGTTAGGTGAAATTATTCTAGACATTCTGCGTACGTTTTACAGGCGTTTGCAGAAAAAACGTCTTCCAGATTATTTTGTACGCGATCGAAATATGTTCGAAAGCATACCAACTGAACGCTTGAATCTCATTGCAGCACAAGTGCATAGCGCTATTGAAAGACCGACAATGCACTTTATTGCAACATTGGTGCACTTACAATACCGCGATCGAAACTTCTATCCCATGATAGATCTTCAAAAATTGTACACAATATTAACTAACGAAGATATTATTCTGCTATTGAACCCGAATATGGCCCGCGATTACAGAGCAGATCGTCAGAAGTTCAACACAGATATACAAGAAATAAATGACTTAGAGGAAGTCGAGTCCAGCATAACAGCACTGAAGGGAGCCGTCGTTCAAAACAGTGAAGATCAAAATCAAATTTGGAGCCGTCAAGCGCGAAAACTCATAGAGGTAGCAAAAGAACGTACGCGCATCAACGAAGAATGGTCCAAGAAAAATCAAGATATTATTAATTTACAGGTATTTAATATTGTCATATGAATCAATATATAATATTATATCAGTTTCATTATTGTATTAATGGGGATATATTTTTCAGTTCAAAGTGAAACCGCTATTAGATTTGCGTAGAAGTCTCGTGTTAGACCTATTTATATCACATTTTATTGAAATAGCCGCAAAGTGCATGTACTATGACGCAGTAAAAAGAGCGATAGGATATCTAAAACAAGCAAAACGGCTTACAATCTTATTATCTGAAGATGTTTACCGAGGTGAAGAAGTCAGCAATTACTTTGAAAGAATATCTAAAGAAGAAAAAATAGCACAATCAATTTTATTATCAAAGCAAGGGTCAGACTTGCCAAAAACGCCTGAATCTAGTGCGTCGAGTGAATCCTCCTGGAGACGCACAAGTAGCATAATTGGACAAGAGGAAGAATTTAAAGTCATCAGCGACAAAAAAGATTCTAGAAAAAACACCAACAAAAACGCACCTGTTTCATGTGTTTCACAATTTCAGTCTACATCACGTAATGACACTATAACCAAAGAAAATTTTATATTTACCCCACATTCATATAGTTTTAAAGATAGTCCATTATTTAAAAGTGTAAAATAAGAAATATATAATAATTTTTAAGAAAATCATTGGTGTACTCCTAACATAATAATTTAATAAGAATTATTAGATGCTAGACCATTATTAAAATAACAGCAAATTTACTTACATCGACTCCATGCTCATTGTAAAAATCTCCTGTTCCTAAACTTGCATATAACTTAAATCCCATTTTTTGCAATGCTCTAATAGAAGGCAGTAGCTCAAGTTTGTGCTGAAAAAATATACATAATGATAAATACAAATGTGAAGTAAGTATTTTCAGTTAACTATTTTCATGAAGCATTTTAGAGCAATATATAAAAAGCATATATATATATATATATATATATATATATATATATCATATCTCAAAACAAACTCAAAAGACAATTTAAAGAAAGTTTGAATTACAAAATTTGTTTCTTTGTCTGAAAAGAAGTTTATACAATCACTTTTTTTGATTAGTGAAAAAGCGTTAGTGTAAAATCAATCATACAGGAAATTAATTCTGTTTTTTAACTTCCTAAAACTCTCTAATTTTTTAACATTTTTAACATTTTGTTATATATTCCACTCATTTATTTTTATCATTTTCATTTTGATTATATTGTCATATTTCTGTACATTAATGATGCGACAATTTTATTCATTTTATATAAAAAAAAATCCATCATCTTCTGCTTTTCTTAAACATATTGTTTGCTCAAATCTTATCAAGATCATATCCTGAAGATGGAACGTACCTAGCTCCGAAACGCCGACAGTAAATAAAGATATGGTTTTTTAAAAAACTTTTTTGGTTTTATTACTTTTTGGATTCTTTGTTCGAAGCTCTACGATATATATATATATATATATATATATATATATATATATATAGAGAGAGAGAGAGAGAGAGAGAGAGAGATTTTCGACTTTGAAACATATTTGAAATAATTAGCAGCCCATACATCAAACATGAAAATACATACTGAAAAAAATTATTAATAGACAAAAGACAAAAACTAAAAGTCTTAAAATTAGTTAAGAGATTTTAGTTAGAGAGTTAGTTGAATTTTCTAATATTTGGCATGTCATCAAAGAAATGCATGGTTGGTCATGGTCAGGATATGGAAGACAATATCTACATTTCATGCCATTTTCATTCAAATGTTCGATATCATTGCGAAATGTTCTTTATGAACAATTATGGCATGTTTCAGAAATAGTTCAATATCATTGCATTTCAGCAGCGCATTGTTGACGTTAATTCGATCCAACATATTGACATTCTTTTTAAAGACAGCTGTGTGTAAATGGTTCAAAACAGTTTTCTTGTCAATAGCTAGCTCCATACCAATATCGACAGTGCCGATATGCTAATTTTTTAGAATTTTTTTCGACATCTTACTATTTCAGACATTAAACGCCCAAAGCGTTAATTTTTCACAACAAAATAACCAGAACGAAAGCAAGTGAACCATTTCCGCGTAACAGATTTTGATAAAGAACTTTCACCGCATATAGCATAATTCTTTTTTACGAGTCTGCACAGCGTTCTTGTCTTTATCATAATACTATTACAGAATATAGCGCATTTTCTGTTTATTTTTCTCGCGTTTTTAAAGAAAAGAACTTCTTAACTACTTGACTACTTTTGATGAATATAACCTTAGAATAATGCTCAAAGTGTCAGTTTCCAAGACACATTTACTGGTGTCTAATAAACAAGTTTGTTCAATATATTTAATACTTTTTATTCGGTGGATAAAACCGGACTAAGAAAATACATCCATGATTTATGAAATATTATTCAATTCAATAAAATAATTAAATTGGGACTGAAGAAATTGTCAAAATATTTAATCTTAATCATTTGAACCGCAGATAAAAAAGTATGCATGCCGTCGGCTGTGTACATAATTAAAATAAAGTTTCATATAAAATTGCGCAAAATGCGTCGCACAGGATTCACAATATATATATATATATATATATATATATATATATATATATGTAAACTAAAATTATATTGCAAAAATAATTGGCTAAGTCTATTCAATAATTATATAATTCTTACCTTAAAACTTCCAATAGAAAGCAATATAGATTTCTGAGGAACGTTGAATCCTGTGCTGATCATAGCTTTGAGATAAGCCTCATAACGATTGTCACCAAAACAAGCAACCTCACCCGTAGAAGCCATTTCCACACCAAGAAGCATGTCAGCACCAGCAAGCCTTGAAAACGAAAACTGAGGCACTTTAACTCCAACTTTTCCACAGCCATGTAGTACTTCAACTGGTTCGACTGGCAAACCAACAATAACTCTCGTAGCCATGGCAACAAAATCATGATTTAAAGTTTTTGAAACGAAAGGAAATGACCGAGAAACACGAACGTTGCACTCAATAACTTTTAGATCATTATCCTAGAATTAAAAAATCAATGTAAATAGTAATTCTTCAATGCATTAGAAAAAGTGTGAGTAACAAAATAAATGTTTTACCTTTGCAATTAACTGCATATTGAATGGTCCTGTAACATCTAGAAGAGCAGCAATATCACGTGATATTTCTTTTATCTTTTCCAATGTCTCAGGGTTTATGTCTTGAGGAGGTGTAACTAATGTTGCATCACCAGAATGCACTCCAGCATTTTCGACATGCTCTGATACTGCCATACATAAAATCTCACCTTCAGCAGCTACTGCATCGACATCTATTTCTTTTGCTTCTAATAAAAATTTAGATATTACAACTGGATGCTCCTTGCTTACTTCACTGGCTGCATTTAAATACGTTTCCAAGTCTTGATGAGAATGCGCAACGTTCATAGCAGCACCACTTAATACATATGATGGCCTAACCAAGCAAGGATAACCCACTTCATCGCAAAATGACATGGCAGACTCTAAATCAGTAAGCTCTTTCCATCTAGGCTGCAAAATACCTCGTCTATCTAACATACGAGAAAATTTAAAGCGATTTTCGGCACCATCGACAGACTCTGGAGAGGTACCTAAGACACGAGCCTGTTGTCTGTGCAAATCCATAGCAATATTATTTGGAAGTTGTCCGCCCATCGATAAAATGACACCAAAGGGATTTTCAACATCATAAATATCCATAACCACCTCAAAAGATATTTCTTCAAAATACAGGCGGTCGCACATATCATAATCTGTACTAACTGTTTCAGGATTATAATTGACCATAATAGTTTTCTGACCTAAATTTCTCAATTCTCGCAAGCAGCCTACAGCACACCAATCAAATTCTACTGAACTTCCAATACGATATACACCAGATCCTATCACCATAGTATAATCACCAATAAATTCCACATCATGTGATTTGCCATTATATGTGAGATACAAGTAATTAGTAGTAGCAGGCCACTCAGCTGCTACTGTGTCAATCTGTTTAACAAATGGCGTTACACCCTTCTCTTGGCGTAATTGGCGCACAGCAAGTTCAGTACTCTGTATGGCATTTGCAATTTGTTTGTCACTGAATCCTAAACATTTAGCTTTCAGTAATAAGTCTTTAGTTAAACTATCAGTTTTTAAACCCTCCATGAAAGTTAAATACTCAATGATATTCTTCATTTTTTGCAAAAACCATTTATCTATTTTTGTCAAATTATGTAATTTCTCAACAGAATAGCCTGCTTTTAATGATGCTGCTACTATATACATACGTTTATCTGTAGGTGCGGTAAGGACTTCATCATTCAATTGTTGCATGTAAGGATCAAATCCTGTCACATTTTCGTCCACCATGCGTAATGCTTTCTGAAAAGCTTCCTCAAATTTTCTTCCAACCGCCATTACCTCACCAACACTTTTCATGGAGCTTCCAATTTTTGTACTAACACGATTAAACTTACTTAAATCCCATCGGGGAATCTTAACTACACAGTAATCCAGACTTGGCTCGAAGCAGGCAGTTGTTTCACCAGTGACAGAATTTTTAATATCTAACAGTGATACACCCAATGATAATTTTGCAGCAACATACGCTAAAGGGTAGCCAGTAGCCTTACTTGCGAGAGCTGAGCTCCTGGATAACCTAGCGTTTACTTCTATAATATAATACTCTTCTGAGTGAGGATTGAGAGCGTACTGTATATTGCATTCTCCAACCACTCCAAGATGTCGAATTACCTTAATAGCTGTTGTTCGTAGCATGTTATATTCACGATTAGATAAAGTTTGACTTGGAGCAACTACAATTGATTCTCCTGTGTGAATTCCTAGTGGATCTACATTTTCCATGTTGCACACTGTAATGCAATTATTAAAAGCATCTCTAACAACTTCATACTCCACCTCTTTCCATCCCTTAAGGGATTTATCTATTATTAGCTGATTGGAATGTGCAAAAGCATTTTGAGCAAGTACTTTGAGTTCGTCCTTATTATTAGCAAAACCTGAACCCAACCCTCCCAAGCTAAAAGCCGCTCGTGCCATAACTGGATAGCCAATTTTATCAGCTGCCTCTATAGCTTCCTGAATACAATAAACTGCAGCACTAGGAGCCACTTGCTCCCCAATTTCATTTATTTTTTCTGCAAATATTTTACGATCTTCTGTATCAATTATTGATTGAATTGGAGTTCCTAGTATTTTAACTCCATACGTTTTAAAAACTCCATCTTGCTCTAATTTTACTCCACAATTTAAAGCAGTTTGACCACCAAATGTTAACAGAATGCCACTAGGGCGTTCTGCTTTAATTACCTGTTCAACATATTCAGGAGTCAATGGCAAAAAGTATATTTTATCAGCAAGTCCAGGTGAAGTTTGCACAGTGGCAATATTGGGATTGATCAAAACGGTTTGTATCTTCTCTTCCTTCAAAGCTTTTATAGCCTGTGAGCCTGAATAATCAAATTCACCTGCCTGTCCTATACTCAACCCTCCAGAGCCAAGTATCAGAACTTTTTTAGGTTTTGTTTCTATGGAGTATATGCTCTTATAGCTTAAAGCTCTAGTTATCATATCACGAATTGTTGTTTCACTACTAGAATCTCTATGATCCTTAACAGCTTGTAAAAATATATCAAACAAGCATTCTAAATCTTCTGGGCCAGCAGTGTGCTCGGGGTGAAATTGAACACTGAAAAATGGCTTCGACTTATGTACAATTCCTTCATTACTTTTGTCATTAGCATTTGTAAAAAGAGGTACCCAATCCGATGGTAAGCTATCCTCATCCACGGCATAACCATGATTTTGAGTAGTCATAAAACAGCACCTTGTGTCATTATGAATACAAGGTTGATTATGACCACGATTACCATAATGCATTTTATACGTCTTAGCACCAGCTGCTGAGGCTAAAAGCTGATGGCCCAAACAAATACCAAAAATGGGCTTTGCAGGAATGGGTACAGGACCATTCATCACTTTCCTGATATTATTAACAGTGGTATTACAAATTTTTGGATCACCAGGTCCATTACTGAGAAAAAGACCATCATAACTAGCTGCATTCAGATGAGCATTCCATGGAACTACATCAACTCGAGCTCCACGAGCAACTAGACATCTAATTTGATTATATTTCAAGCCACAATCTACTGCACAGATAACTAAAGAACCATTAGGATTGTAACTAGTAGGAGCCTACAAATATTTTAAAATGAAATTTGAATCATTAAAATTATAATAAACATATGATATATACCTTTGTAGAAACATCTGCAACAAGGTTTCTAACATTAGGATCACTAAATGGGGCTGTTGGTCCAGGCAAAACTCCTTGTACAATACGTCCCAAAACGGAACCTTTGGACCTGATATGTTTAGTAAGCGCACGAGTATCAATATTACATATTCCAGGAATGTTTTGAGCCTTCATCCAGTCTGATAAAGTTTTTGTACTGCGCCAATGACTTGGATTAAAACAAATTTCATCCACTACTAAGGCTGAGGCCCAAATAGTGCTCGATTCAAAAAATCTATATCAAAATTTAGAATAAAGAGAGAAAATCAGATATGAATTATAGTTCTAGAGTTTTCGAAAATCTTTTTAATTCACTTGTGAATCTAAAGTAAAATCAATGTACTAACAAAAGTGTATAAATGAATTTTAAACACACCGTGGTAAACCAAGTCCATCTTTCTCATCGTCAGGAATGCCATAATTTCCAATCAATGGATATGTAAGAACAAGTATCTGTGATTTGTAGGATGGATCTGTTAAGGATTCCGCATAACCCACCATGCCAGTTTGGAAAACTAAATTATAAAAATTGATTTAGAGAAATATAGGTTCAATATTAAAAATAATATCTGCAGAAAATACTTACCAACTTCACCGTCAACCGCCAGTTCAGCACCAAAACTATTTCCTTGCAATATGGTTCCATCTTCTAATATCAGGCAACAGACTGACATATCTCAACTGTTATGCAGATGTAACTTAAATTATAGCTTGAATTTCAAATGAAACTGCTGTAAAAAAGTACTTTAAAATTATATATCTGGAAAAACTAAATATATAACAAAAAAGTTCATTAATTCAGATAATGATCAGACTCTAAGATTTTGTATTTTCTTTTCTTTTCATGACGTCCTGAATATTTTGTCTATCCAGTTCAAACACTAGGAACAAAGATATAATAAAATCAATTTATAAATATTAACTAGATCTGGCAGTGGGTATACCAAACTATATGAAACTAATATTATGAAATGTTTCTAATAATTTTATTTCATTAAAAAATGAAGTGTTTTGACTATTCAATTAAAAAGTATTTTACATATTATTGAAAATAAACATTCAAAGAGTGACACCCAGTAAGTTTAGGTTTTCATATCTCACTATAAACCAGCATAGTTTTGAAAATGCTCATTAAAAGGCTATTAAGTCAGTAAAACTAAAAACTGGTAATGTGTGTTTAAAAAATAATTCATTTGTATTTTTTGAGAATTAACACATCAACAGCTTAGAATCAATATGAAATGATAACAGGTGTTTGCAAATTTGCAAAACCTACAAAAACAGTGCAGTGTCAGAATAATTTGATTAAAACGAATAAATAGATTTTATTTAATCTGTTTAAATAAAATATTTTCCTAATCTTAATCGCAAAAAAATCGAAAATGAAAATATTTTATATATCTTTACGTTTCAAAACCTTCTGAACATTTTGGCATACCTTAGGAAAAATGGATGTATGCGTGGTGTGTGTGTGCGGATACAAATTTTCGCCGACGATTTCGGGAACACGGTTCAACTAATTTCAATTATTAAAAAAACATTCGATTGCTGTTGATAAGGCGACGTGCTGATTAGTTTTTGGCATAGGCAGGTCCAGCCGTTTGGAAAGGGACAAAAAGTGCCACAAACAATAGCTCAGTTTTCAAGAGAACGGAGCGTCCGATTTTAATAATTCAAAAAGCATTTTACTTGTATTGACAAGATGAAAAACTGATTAAATTTTCATAAAGGCTGGTTTAGCGATTTCGGAGATCTAGTGAAAAAAGTAAAAAACGCCCTTTGGCGGTCAAAAATGTCATTAAACATATGCACATCAAATTATCAGATATTTTATAGAGATTTTAACAACAAGTATATTTTTTACATTCCTATGGGTTTCGTACGACGTTTATCAGTTAAGCGGCGACGCGGCGCTTACGCGCTTCGATATTTCGTCTCTATGCAGTTAAAGTAGTACGATTGCTTTGAAAAAAGGTTCAGAATTTCCAAAATATTGCAAAATAAAAAACTTTTTTTCAATGTCTTTTTTTTTGTACAAAAGTAAATTTTTGTCAAAAATTATAGTTTCTCAAAAATCAAATTTTTTCAAAGTAAAGTTTTTTCAAAAATGTTAATCTTTTTTAAAAAAAACTATTTTTGGTACGGAAAGTTCCAGTAATTTGCCTTAAGACACGATGCCATGTGCCCCACTAGTCTCACTCAGTTACTGTAAAAAAACTAGTGGGGCGCATGGCATCGTGCCTTAAGGCAAATTGCTGAAACTTCCCTTATCAAAAATTATTTTTTTTAAAACGAATAACATTTTTGAAAAAAAAAATACTTCGAAAAAATTTGATTTCTGAGAAACTATAGATTGGACAAAATATTACTTTTTTTGAAAAAAAAATTTTAATTTTTTTGATAAAAAATGTTTTCTTTATTTTGACATATTTTGGAAGATTTATCGTACTGCTTTAACTGCATAGAGACAAAATATAAAGCGCGTAAGTGCCGCGTCGCTGTCTAACGGATAAACATTGGTACGGAACCCATAGGAATGTAAACAAAATTTATACTTATTGTTAAAATCTCTATAAAATATCTGATAATTTGATGTGCATATGTCTAATGATCATTTTTGACCGCAAGATGGCATTTTTTTACTTTTTTCGTTAGATCTCCGAAACCGCTAGACCTGCCTTCATAAAAATTTGATCAATTATTCATCTTGTCAATACAAGTGAAATGTTATTAAAATCGGACGCTCCGTTCTCTTAAAAACTGAGTTACCGTTTTCGGCACTTTTGCCCCGTATCTTCGGAACGGCTAGACCTGCCTTCGCCAAAAACTAATCAGCACGTCTCCTTATCAATACGAATCGAATGCTTTTTGAATTATTCAAATCGGTTGATCCGTGTTCCCGAAATCGTCGACGAAAATTTGTATCCGCACATACATACACACACGTACATACATACACACACACACACACACACATACATACACATACATCCATTTTTTCTAAGGTATGCCAAAATGTTCAGAAACCTCTGAAACGTAAAGATATATAAAAATTTTCATTTTCGATTTTTTTGCGATTACTATAACTTGCCCTACGGGAAGTTAAAAGAAATGTGACCCAAGTGCTAACATACACCACCCTCATGATCCAGAATTCTTCCTGCTAAATCATAAACAAAAAAAAGTTTATCATAACACTACGCTGTTTTAATCTTGTGCTTATATACAAAGATAACAAGTTTTATATATTTCATACGAATTATCAACAACGCTCACTGTAACTAATACGATAAAAATGAAATGCCATTATAAACGTATAATAAACATTATCTGAAGACAAAACATTATAATACACTGACACGACGACTTAAACGAACTAAGCACTATACGAAAGCGGAACATGTCTTATACATACATAACCTCAATTTAATAATCTAAAAACTGACGGTTTATTTAAAAATAACAATAGTATCTATCGCTGAAAAAGATCATACGGGGGTATGTAAACAAAAAGTCGTTACCCATAATTTAAATCATTCATGAATAATATTAATTACTTCAATCGCACAAAACACGTGCTATTGTTGTTACAATCCCAACACTGTGAAATTTCTAAAAATTTTAGTATGAATCGATCAGGAAAAAATAACAAAAATCCTAAATGCACCGCGAATAAGTATAAATAAACAATTATATCGAAAATTGTATCGTTCTCACCTTTCCGACTATCCCTAACACAAAACCACTAACAAATAAGTCGACACTGCGCTGCGCGCTCCGTCTCGGATTGTACAATGCGCTTATCTGAAGGGTAAAAATTAAGTGCCGCCACCTGCTTCTATGTTTACATTTCAAAACGTACAACTTATCTGAGATATAAATCACTAACGTTTCCATCATAGATAAACAAGTATAACTGTCCGAACTGTCCGTTACGGATAGAGATTAATAATTTCAATGAAAAAATAAGTATGAACGTTTCTCAACGACCACAAAATCGTTTACATACTCATAATGTACTCCTAAAATTATAAATGAACTAGCCTTGAGGCAAATTGCTGAAACTCCCTTACCGAAAATTAATTTTTAAACTAGTGGGGCGCATGGCATCGTGCCTTAAGGCAAATTGGTGGAACTTTCCGTACCAAAAATATTTTTATTTAAAAAATTAACATTTTTGAACACATTTTACTTTGAAAAAATTAGATTTTTGAGAAACTATCAATTTTTAATAAAGATTTACTTTTTTAGAAAAAAAAAGACTTTGAAAAAAATGTTTTGTTTATCTTGAAATATTTTGGAAATTTTGAACTTTTTTTCAAAGCTATCGTACTGCTTTAACTGCATGAAGACAAAATATCGACGCGCTTAAGCGCCGCGTCGCCGTCTAACTGATAAACATTAGAAATATACACAAAATTTGTACTTATTAAAATTTCTATAAAATATCTAATTTGATGTGAATTTGTCCAATTTTTTGACCGCCAAAGGGCAATTTTTTACTTTTTTTATTGAATCTCCGAAACCGCTAGACCTGCCTCATCAAAAATTTAATCAGTTCTTCATTACGTTAATACAAATAGAAAGTTTTTGAATTAATCAAATCGGACGCCAGTCATCTCCATCTGAATTACGATTTTTGGCACTTTTTGCCCGGTATCTTCGAAAGCACGTTCCCCATCAACACAAACCGACTATTTTTTGAATTATTCCAATCGGTTGATCCGTGTTCACGAAATTGTCGACGAAAGTTCGTATCCAAATACACACATATATACATCTATTCATAGATAAAAGAAGAGTATTGCATCTAAGGTATCTATATTTCTTCTAAGGCAAGTATGCCAAAATGTTCAGAAACCTTTGAACCGTAAAGATATATAAAAATTTATATTTTCGATTTAGGATTTCATACCATAGTATGTCCAGATACATTATAATTTCAGATTCCTAAAATCTTGTCAATATCTTGAAGCTAAAGAATACATTCTTCAACAATCATCATTTCTCATATATATTTTCTGAGATTCATAATTCCTAAGATAATTAAACTTTTTTTGCTAGATTTCTTCGGCTTATTTATAATCATTTTGCCTATTTTTATTGAAATTATTAATCTCCGTAACGGCCAGTGCATCGCTGTATTCATTATATCTTTATACATACAGTGTTGCATTACTATTTAAATTCGATACACTTCTTTGGTTGGGTCCAGCCCCAACATTTAATAGAATGGCTGTCATAAATATATATGTAATGTGATATGTAAATAACAATGATAATTAAAAACAATTATTGGTTTTAAATAACACACCACTACATCGCAAACAAACTCTAATTTTTGCAACAAAAATTTCAAACAAAAACTGCTGATTAGTCGAAAGTTGAGAATACTGCATATATGAATATGTTTATTATTTAACACATACTCTATCAAAAAAATCATGAATATTATTAAAGATAATTATTATTTGTATTTAAATTAAAACTATTTTTTTATTTCTAATTTCTCAACCATACACAACACTCATATATACAAAATACACGATACAAAATAATAACGGTTATATACAAGGCACACTGTGTATTTATCTTTTGATATACATGTGTAAAATTTGGTACAATTGTAGCTATGAGCCTATTACTAATACTACAAATAATACTGTATTTTCAATACTTGCTTATAATTCAAATCATAAATATACAAATCCTTTAAAGAAGGTGTCAACTATATTTAAAAATAATTTATAAATAATATCAGTCAAATGATAATATATCAAAATCAATAATATTTCATATTCATTTTTTTGAAAGAAACAAATTAGTTTCTAAATGAATACCCAAAGCCAATTTCAAACAGTACCTTATTTGTTACATTCATATATGTTCCTTCTTCTGTTACAAGTGTTGTAAACATTAAAAATCAAATACTATTTTAATCTAATATTGAAGACATTTTTCCAAATGTAGTCTTAAGGCAACAAATTATGTGTTTTAATTTTATTTAGTCTTAATATTATCCTCAACTATTTGAAATTAGCTTATGACTTTTTTTTACAACAAAACAATACTGATTATATGCATTTTAGTATCACTTTCAGGTCATAAATATTAAATATTATTTTCAAAGTTTATCTTACATCCATATTTTTTGTGCATATATGTGCAACAGATTTACACAAATTAGGAAACAATGATGCACTAATCCCACAAAAATATATTTTAATATTAGAAAATATAATTTGATTCAGTGCTTTCACATTATAAAAGTTAATTTGCTATCATAGTAAAGAAGGATGTTCATACCTCTTCGTTTGTTATGATTATCTACTTGATACATATAATTTTGTTTTACATTTACGATCACATTTTTCATAAATTCATTATATAAACTTGTAATTTAACAGGTTTGATTATTGCTTAATGCAGCATTATTTAATAATATTAATGTGTGGTATAATAATATTAATGTGTGTAGTTATACATAGAGCTAATTATTAAAACATAAAAGCATCTTTACAAACATAACTTAACTAGAATAAAATTTAATCAAATACTGCCATCAATTATAACAAAATTTTAGTAAGATCACAAAATAAAATGTTAGCGCACTCAATTTGAAAACTGGTACTTGAACTAAAATCAATAAAATTAAGTACTATATAAAATAATCATTCAAATATTAACTTATGTTGTGACTAGATAACAGAGATTCATTCAACATATTTGTCTCAAAAACATTTTTAAATTTAAATATGGTATGTTGTTAGGAATGTACTAATAAATGTACGTATTAAAAACTAATGAAACCACTAGCAAATAAATATTATAACTTAAATTGACAAAAATTTGAATGCATAATGCGTAATCATAATTAATAAAATAAATTTTGATGAGATTCATTCATTCACAAGCAATCTTGCCATCAAAACTACTTAAGGCAATGCCAAATGCTTGCAAGGCACATAACGGATATCTAAAATCCATTGTGAACACATCGTCAGAAATTCTTCCAAATTGCATCACAATATAATCTGGTTCAGAATCATGTACGATCTGAAAATTCTTCACTGACGCTTGAGTGACACGACCATGAAAATTAAGTACATAAGACTGAGTCTCTTCATTCCAGATAGGTGTTTTGTTATGGAGTTCAACAAGCTCATCCATATTCTGTAAGGTTATTTTTAATTTCTAAGTAGTTTAGATCTTGTTTCAACTAACCGAATACATTAAAAATATATAATAATTCATAGAATATTTACCTTATTTTTCCAACTATCAAGAAGGCCTTCTTTGTCATCACTTGAATTTACAACAACACGTTCATTATTAACAGACATACTTGGTAGAATAATAGTCATTTTACGTGGTCCTTTAAAGCCCAGCACATTTGTGTCCTACAAATGAAATAAAAGATTTCATAAAAAACATTACTTATGATAAAACATTGTTAAGTTAAATAGAGCTTACTAAAATTGTTGCTACTATTAGAAGAAAATACAAAAAATTATACATTACATATACTATAGCAGCAAGTTCTTTCCTAGGTAAATCTCCACCACCTCTTGAGCCATTATCATAAACTGTGAATGAAGTGCCCAACAAATTAGCACGGACTTTTCCTAAAAATCCATCTGCTCCACGGGACAGGTCTGTAGGATCAACACTGATTAAGTAATTACTTGTTTTGCTCTTTTTTCTTTTCCTAGCTGTAAATTTAAAAAAAAATACAACTTAAATTTTAAATTTGCCATAACTGAAATTTAACTTTGCTGTAACACAAATTACCTGCTAGTAAAAACACTTTTCGTCCATAATCACGTTCCAAATGCAAAAAGTATGTTGGGTATAATCCTCGATCCATTCCTTTCCTGTCCCTGGTGATTCGACATTGATATAGTGTCCTCAGTTTTGCAGGCATTAAAACAAATCTTTCTAAATTGCTGTCCACATCTCCTTCCCTCTCTTCAATTATCTATATAATTGAATCAATTTCTTATTTCAGTTTAAGCTGAATGAATGAATGATTAATGACAATTTTTTCATTATTATTTATGACAAATACAAATTCTTTACAACTAAATATGAAAATTTATATTATTAATAAAATTATAATGCAAAGAGAATTCACAACAAGCATAATATACAATTAAATAATGTCACAAAGCTATTGATAAGCATATTATTGATATTTTTAACTCACTTTGCACTAATAAAACTTAGAGCAAATTAAAACACTCATGTTTAAACATAATTACAAACATGTTATTTAAGAAATTTACTTGAATCTGATTGAACCAGTTTTTGAAGTAAAACTTCTTTAGGCGCGACTAGGGTGTAAATCCGTACAAATGCTACGGAAGTGCGTTACAGCAAATAAGATAAGAGTCGAGTGCCAATGATTCGTCATACGCTCTCGATGATATCATTTCTATACGGGTCGATTGTGATTAGGCATCACGTATGTGAATTGAGATCAGTCATTGTATGCGTACCAGCATCAACGTTGTATGCATACCGAAATCAACAAGGAAATCGGCATAGATAAATAAACATTTTAAAGTTACATTGCAGTACAAATGTTGATTTAATGAAAAATGCCTGAACCAGAAGAATATTTTACCATGTTCCTTGAAAATATTGAGTGATAAGATTAATAAATATTAAGTTTATTGATTAGAAATTATTTCTATATTATTCACAGTTCCTATAAATCTTTGAAGTTATTAAAATGGAAAATATTTTTTAAGCAAGACAGATATTACAGCTGTTCAAAGAATAAATTTATATCACCAGCAAAATGTAAAAAAAAAAATACAAGCAATCAATATGAATAACATGAAGTTCTTCAAACATAATTACATGGTGAGTAAAGTTGCAAAAACGATATTTGTTTGGACGTTGTTTAACATAATCCACTGTGTGAACGAATATTATAGAAGTTATTTATCAGCAATTAATTCATTTCTTTAATAAAGGTTCATTTCTAAATGCTAATTACAATGACAAACCGATCAAGTCATATTTGATGTATTGACTTTAATTACGTACGTATTACATATTTAAGTAGCAAATAAGTTTTACTTCAATCCCGTTATACACATTCTTTTTATCTTGTATCTTACCTCTGGTGGTGAGGAAGCTGCTATTACAGCAGGAGCGATGATTACACTGTTCTCCGATTCATGATTAGATAAAGGAGTACTTTCTTCATCAGGATCATCATTTTCCAATATCATTTCTCCAATCCTAAAAACAGAACGTTTTCAAAAATTCTTACAGCGCAAAGAATCTTGCAAAATGATTACAAAACCTACCTTCATAAGTATTAACTGTAACTTTTGTCATTATTTGATCAGGATTATTTGGTGACATTGTGAATTGCATTGGGCCATCATATGCATGTCTCTCTAAATTATTTTTACTATGAGATGATGGTCTTACAAAAGGAGACTCAAGAGAAACATCGCTGGCTAGAACAACTGATGGAGTTGCTCTTCGCATTCGCTGTTTCTGCTCTAAAACTCGACGCTGAAATTTCAAAAACATGTAAAGAAGCAGCGCAAGTTTCTTTCCAATTCCTAACATTCTAATAAAAACACAAATATAAAATGAAAATGTAAAAAATATAAAATATAGACTCGAAAACACTTTACATTCGATAGTTTATAGAATTTAAATAGAAAAACTAATACTTTTGATCAAAACATTTTTGTGCAAAAACTGTAAATTACATGTACTCATTTTTCTGTATTCATTTGATAAAAATATTTATATTAAATGACAAATGTCAACAAATAAGTTTTTCACCTGGTGCGCTAATTTTTCCTCTCTATCTCTAATTTGGTATTCATTCATGATCATATAAAGTACTATTAATCAGTCTAGAGCTACGTGAGGTAAACAATACGGTCTACAATTAAATTAAAACTTCAGTCGATGATAAGTAAAATGAACAATCAGATTTAATTCACAATGAAAAAAGTATTTGACTTACTAACTAGACTAGGTACAAGACAATCAGTTGTCGATATCTCGACATAGATATTCTAGTAGAGTGGACAATTTATCCACTACCGGGGAATCGGTGAAACATTGCAGAAATCGCAATGTACGCCCCATAGATGTATTTATTGCTCAGTATGTTTTGACAGCTCAGGACAACTGACAGGTTAGACTAGGTTTAGATCTGGGCTGGCCGAGATAAATGATTTCCAAACTGTGAAGCGTGCACTCATAATCGGTAAGTGAGCATCCATTATTCACGAGAAGCTTAAAGGGTGAGGGGGGTGGGGTATTTGTCAAAAAATCACGAATATTCATGTTGATGGAGAATGGTCTAGTGAGATATCACGTGTATATATTTTTTACCTGAATTAAAAAAAAATCCAAAATTTTTCAAAGATATTTCAAGAAATTCACGATTTTTTTTAGGTATTAAAAATTTACGTGATATTTTGTGGGGAAAGGGATCACCAAGTATCACCAGAGCGAGAGGGATCCAAAAATCCTTAAAAAGCGATCACGTGATTAATTCACGCCCCTAAGTATCGCAAATAAAATCTAATTTATATATACATATTTATGTATATATATATATATATATATATATATATATATATATATATATATATATATATATATATATACATACATATTCAAAGGTATCAAAACATTTTGACACACCTTAGAAAAAATAGATGCATGTATATGTGCGGATACAACTCAGTCGACGATTTCAAGAATACGGATTGGGATGATTCAAATAACATTCGATTTCTATTAACAAGGAGACTTGCTCATTAGTTTTTGGCCAAGGCAGGCCGGGCCGTTACAAAGATATAGGACTTAAAGTGATTCAATAATTCAAAAAACATTTAACTTGTATTGACAAAATGAAGAACTGATTAAATTTTTGGTAAGGTAGTTCCAGCCGTTTCAAATATTCAAGAAAAAAAATTGGCGGACAAAAAATATCATTAGTACAAATTTTATTTGCATTTCTAATGGCTCCGTACCAATGTTCATCCGATAGTTTGCGATGTAGCGTTAAAAAAAAAATCAAATTTTTCAAAAATTTTAAAATATTCCAAATTAAAAGAAAGTCAAATTTTGTCAAAAATTTCAAAATTTTCAAAATCTAATTTTTTGAAAGTTTTTTAAAAAAAATAAAAATTCAAATTATCGGTACGGGAAATTCCAGCAATTTGCTTGAAGCAGAATGCACCACTAGTTAAAATCAATATTTTTGAACGTTTATAATTATATATGTAGTAGTATTTCAGATGGTAGAAGATATAACAAAAAAGTTTTTGTTAAGGCACCCATGGAATCATTAAAAAAAACAAGGTTTGAATAAAATTTCGAGACCTTACGTGATTCATCTTCAGTACATAAGCGCGAATTGCGTATACATCAAAAAGTATTGTTATACAAATCCTTTAGATATTGTACAATGTACACCATATTATATTTCATTCATTTACGATGCAAACACACGTACATGAAGGCATGGTACATGTCTGAAAGTCAATCTATTTTTTTGCGAAACTAAAATGAATAATAACAATATCTACTAAATACAAAAAAAAAACACATCAGATATGTATATAAGTTTTAATTATCGTTCTCTGATATAATAGAAGTGTGAAGTATTGATTTTCTCAGCATTTGGTTTGAGGTTTTGTAATTAGTTCAAACTAAAATTACAGACATTGAAGTTAATGAACCAGTATTATCGTAGAAGAAAGTACAGCATAACGAATTATATATTTTTTACTAACATTAGTTTCACGAAAAAATATTTGTTTAAAAAAATGTTTATATGTTTTTAAATGATGTTATACTAAAATAAAATATATTCATTAATGTCGACTAGAAGTAGAAGAGACACACGGAAAAACGTCATGTGAAAATGATCGTTTAAAATACAGTTTAAATTATTCATACTTTTGACTATGCAATATTCCTGCTTCATTTAGTTTCTTATTATTCAATCAGTTATATTTTTTAACATTTATAGAAATAAATATAAATATAATATGTCATAGTTACAAACAATCTGATGGAATAGGTAGAACTTCGAAAAATTAAAATACGGCAATAAGAGTACTAATTTAAATTCTATAATTAAATCTTAGAATCTATTGCTGGTAATATTGTCCGTTATAGTCCTGTTGTTGTCTCTCGGCTTGTAACCTGGCGGCTTCTGGGTTGGTCTTAGCTTCATGAGCTGCTCTTTCTTGTTGCAGCCTGATGCCCTCGTAAATGAGGTCCAAACCCTTTTGGATTTCTTCTGGTACAGGTGGGGGAGTTGGGATGTGGTCACCAGTGGCATGGAAACCAGTTTCGTCGGCAGTGTATTGAACATTTATAACTTCGCCTTCAGGTGAAGTGTATGAGTATTGACCGTGTTGCACAAGGGAAGCGGTATTGTTCTCACCAGGTTTCAAGTATCCAGCATCTTCGGAGTAAATTTTGTTACCAGTTTCGTATCTAAAATAATATAAAACGAGATAAATAAATAAAAATAATATATATTTGAGGAAATATAGAATAGAATCAGAATATAATATAAGATCGGAAATAAAGAGCGTTAGAGCATAATTAAAAAAGGAATATTATAATCATAAAAATGCAAATACGAAGGAAACGCTTCGATGGATGTCATTTAAAAATTGGACGTAAAATGATAATTTTATTAAAACATCCCTCCTATCAAAATTTTGGTCACAACTTGCGTACAAAGATTAAATAACAGCAAATAATACGGCCAAAAACAGATAATATTAAAAGGATAGACAAACTTATCAATTTGAATCTAAATAAATATTATATTTACTCCAGTGAATTTTGAATCAAATTGTATTAATAATAATTTATAATTTTTTTGTTTGAATGCAATTAAACTTTTATCTTCAATATTTATACAAGTTAAAGCGGGGTTTGAAGGTCCGCGGTAAGAAAGTTCACCACCATTATTTTTTTTATAATATAAATTATGGCTATTTTTAACTATACTATTTTGAAGTAGGAGAAAACAATGTGTCACCAGCCAATGACTTAAATCGGAAGTCATCACTATTGCGAGATAAACGGCCGTTTTGGTTTAAGCACTGTTGTTCATTTTACGATACCCGAGTAAAATTGTTAAATATACGATATCCAATTGTTTTATATGGTGTGTTGTTATTTTTGAGTTAGATTCAACAGTTTTTTTATAACCTTCAAAATATCTTACATGTGGTTGAGGAAAAAAAGACTAACTTTAAACCAAGACAATTTGTCAAGAAATAAATTGAATTAATAATTATTCCAACTCTGATGACGAATTTTTCTGATAAAGTTCCATACAAACGTTGCATGCGGTGGTGATATTTGTTCAAAATGTGCCCATGAAATTTCAAGCTGAATTTTTATTTACCATACTTGTAATAATTGTATTTCAAGAAACAATGAGTCTGGTTTTGATAAATCAAACAGAAATGCCTCCAAAAGCAAGATTTTTGATAGTACTAAAAGTTGATAAAGATTTTGAGTTATTATGATAAAATAATATATATTTAGATTATAATTTTTAACTTTGTTGTTCAATCTAATTAATAAACTTCATCGCATTGATTAAATAATGTAGCTATTGTTTCGTAAAAAATTAAGAATAAAATGGTGGACTTTTTTCCCCGTGGCTTCTCCATTTTACCTCGGCGATGTAGCAATAAGGACCGGGTAACAATCTTTTGAAAAATAACAAAAATATATATTTCTACAGTGATGAATTAGCTGGGAATTTTACTGAACATAATTAAATAGTTGTTTGTATGATTATTTATTTTTTGTGATGAAGTTGATAAGGATTTCAAGGAATAATTGTTGAAAGGCATATTTTATACGCTTTTCTTTAACAAGTAAAATAAAATAAAATCAAATCTTGTGTACAATAATTCTAATGTACAAAGTCAAGCAAATGATTAGAATTGAAGATGAATTTTGCATAAACTTAAAATATATAATTTAATTAATCCAAATATTGCACATTTTACTTCTTTTTTGAAAGCAGAAGAACATAACAGAAAAGAGTGGAGTAATTATGAATAATATAGATTAGGGCAATTCATAAATAAAAATATATCAAAATGTATATAATCAGGACCAGTCCTACCTTGAATGCGATGCATGCGAAAAATGCGGGCGCCACGCCTTAGGGGGCGCCAAAACAATATTCGGATATGAAATTTGTAATAAAGTTTTTTCACTAAACTTTGGGCAATTTTTAAAATAAGTTGAAAATATAACTTCTAAACAACAATCTGATACACGATGGGAAAGTAAAGATGAATACATACAATTCGGCCATTGGGAGAAGTTCACGATGCAATTTAGAATATTTTAAATAATGAAAAATTTAATTACAATAATCCAACATAAAGTAACAGTGTCATGTTAAATAATGAAAGACGAAAACTTTTTTTGCTCTCTATGATTTGCTCAATAGAATAAATTGCATTCAACCTCCAAAATAAATAAGTAAAATGTTTCAAAACTCAAATATAAATATTACAGATACGTTAGAAATAAATGAAAATTTTAAAACATTTACTAAAAAATGGCATGCGGGCACCGAGGACCCTAGGACCAGCCCTGTATATAATTATAAACTCACGTTGTTTTGTAGCTGCCATCTTCTCCTTGCTGTTTGTCGAATCTAAGAATTGGAATGAAAGTCGTGGTTTCCCTTTGTTGCTGTTGCCTTTCGTATTGTTGCTGGAGCCTTTCGTTGTCCTGAGGGAAGGCGAACACGCAAGCGCAAAGGCAACCGAGAATTATCTAAAAATATTGGTAATAAATATAAATAATATAAATTGTTAATAAATTATGAAATCATTTAATTCACTCTAATTATTAACTACCAAAACATTAACTTATTACCATATTACATTCAATTACTCGAACTCCGGTAAATCTTATGTTATATTGCACCAGTTCACCACTTTATGTTAATGAATATTTTATAATTTGGATTAAATTTATAATTAAGTATAATTTTAAGCGTGTAAATTTATAAACTCATCAATATTAAAAGTCACCGATACGCTCAAGTTTAATGGCAATTCCTGCGTAAAACTAATTAAAATTAACAGTGACTTTTTTGAAAAATTTAATTTTTTGTTGATTTTCTGAAATATTTGAAATTTTGAACTTCTTTTTCAAAGCAATCGCGCTGGATCTGAGACAAAATATAGAAGCGCGTAAGCGCCGCGTAGAAGCTTAACGGTTAAACATTGGTATGGAACCCTAAGAAATGTAAACAAGTATTCATTATTAAAATCTCTATAAAATATCTGATAATTTGATGCGCATATATCTATTGATTATTTTTGACCGCCAGATGGCATTTTTTTTACTTTTTTTTATTAGATCTCCAAAACAGCTAAACCTGCCATTCCAAAAATTTGATTAGTTTTTATGTCGTCAATACTAGTAATTTTTAGATATTCAAATCGGAAGCTCCATTCTTTCAAAAACTAAATTACAATTTTTGGCACTTTTTGCTCTGTATCTTCGAAACGGCTGGACCTGCCTTGGCCAAAAACTAATCAGCACGTCTCCCCATCAATAGAAATCAAATGTCTTTTGAATCATTTAAATCGGTTTGAACGCACACGCGTTCTCAAAATTGTCGACATAAAATTGTATCCACACATACATACACATACACATACATCCATTTTTTTTTCTAACAATAAGGTATGCCGAAATGTTTAGATGGCTTTGAAACGTGAAGATATATAAAAAATCTAATTTTCTATTTTTTTGCTATAACTTGCGTTAGATATGATAAACCTCAACGTTAGTCGCTTGCATGCATTCTCTAAAAAATTTTCTTTGCAAAATAATTTAGATTTTGAAGCATTGTCTTGTAAATATAGGTTTCTCTACTATTAACATTAATTTTACTTAAAATATCAATATTATTTAATACATAATACATTACATTTTTATTACATTAACTGTTATTATTACCGTTGCGTTTAAACTATGCCGCGACAACTATAACGAATTAATTAATCGTTGTAAAAAAGTCAGCTGACATCATAATATAAGTATGTATTCATTCACAAAACGTAACTCGTGAATCGATTGCACAATTTATAAGAACAATAACACCAATACAATGTAAATAACAATTGATGTATTACATTACAATAACAACGCACAATAGATTTTTTTATTAAGCAGCAAAATGATGCTTTGAAATTTCTTCCTACTTCGCCCTGGTGACTTCATCGCGAAATGCACGCTTTGCAGAGGATGCATTTATTGCAACACGCCATAAAATCAATTAAAGGCAACGAATTTAATGATATATATGAAATGTAATGATAACAATATTTTGAAAATATACATTTCAGATATAAATATAACAATATAGAAATAAGCGTTGTGATTGCAATTCTTTTATGTACGCACTCGACACTTAAACGATTTTTAAAAAATATTTCACCTATGTTTCCAAATATTTACGTTTGAATGAAAAATATTTTTTATTTAATCAATATATAGAAAATGGAACAGATACTTTATATCAATATATTCTTACGTATTTAATAATCGTTTATTTTAACTTAGATACCCTCCAAATAACGTTCCGTGATATTTTAAATGCGATATTTGGCTGTGGGTTCATACGTTATTAAATAGATGACTTATAATCAGATAAGCATTATATATATATATATATATATATATATATATATATATATATATATATATAGTTTATAATTAATTAATCAGAATATTTAAATATGAATATGAATAAGATTATTTATTACAACTTTGTATCAACCATTACCATTGTGCTTATCGGATGATTTTAACGCAGTTATATCACAAAATCTCATTTACCGTAGTTAATCATTTGTATTTTTCTAACAAAAAATTATAAATTTTGTATATACAATTTTTAAATTAATCCAATGTTAAAAAAATAAATGTTAAAGAAAAAAGATAACATGGTTAATTTTTATTAAAGATTTTTAGTTCAAAAGATATATTATTGATTGATGCTACTTTTACATAATGTTAGAAGTTTCTGAGTTCATTATCTGAGTTCTATTAATCCGTTGGAAAAGGGTTGTGAACGTAAACAACTGTATATGTTTATTTTTTTTTCAAATCGCTTCATCTTCAGGGAAATTTATGTTGAAAACTTGTATAATTTTTTCTTTAGTCCTATATGACCCTTACTGATTTTAAGCAATTTTCTATCAAAATATTGATATAACAAATAACAATTATAAATTATTATTAATACCCATTCCAAATTAACTATATCCATTCTTAAAGTTATGGTCTTCATATACATTCAGAATAAAGTTTAAAAATATAGTAATGATATGATTTATAAATTTAAAGTTCATAGAACGTAAAGTTTTTTTTCCGGAAAATGGAAAATAAAATATACATAAAATAATATATATCTTTATATTTATATTTAAATTTATATTTATATATATATTATATAGGGAGAGTACGGACAAAATGACATAGTGTTTTGTTTTTTGAAGTTATTTATTTATTTATTGCTATTATAACCATTCTCAATCGTTTCATCTTTAGTTCATTGATTACCAGTAAGATGGTATTTTAATTAAGTAGGAAATATAATAACATATTTATTAGAAAAAATGCAATGTATGTTCATATAGTACAGGCAAAATAACATAAAGGTTAAGGAAATACAGAAATGCTAATTTTTAAGAAAGTAGTTTACAAAAAAAAACGTTTCGTCCTCTTTAAGATATTAACACATGAAGCATGAACCCAAAGGGTAGAAGTCATACATCGTAACCAATCTTCGCCGGGCTCAGAACGGAAAAGAAAGGTTTTGCAACAAATGCAATGTTTGTTTACCGGTGGATCTTTCGGCCTGTTTTTAGCAATTATTTCTAGCAAAATTAGAGTAGCCAATCACCTTTGATAGGTTTTAATTTTTTTGGGTCCTGTAATACTTGCGAAATAGTACTTTATCATTTTGCCCATCGTATAAGTATGTCATTTTGTCCGAAATTGAACAAAAATGAATAATTCACCAAAAATCAGCTAAACACCTGATTATTGCAGTAAAATTGACCGGAATCATTAGCACTGGCATAAGTTAATTGATTTCAATTGAAAAATTGAAAAAAAAAAACATGAGTGAAACACCCACAAAATAAACTTTAGTAGGTGCGAAAGACGTATGAACTGATTACTGCGACAAGAGTGTGACAATGACGATCAACATCTGACAGGGTTGTTATTATAGCTTTTTTGATGTTATATAGTTAGGGAAACGTTAATAAAACTAGCCAATTTTTAAGTAAGTGGCTAACAATCATTAACTATATTAATAAAAACACAAACTCATAATATATATATATATATATATATATATATATATATGTATATATATATATATATGTATATATATATATATATATATGTATGTATTATCATGCATGAATATAATATACCACTATCGATTCTTCGAAGTGGCATACAAAAAATATAAAATTAAATGGATGATAATGAATAAGTTTAATAGTTAGTGGCATGTGTAAATTTTAATGTATATATGGTAATATAAGTGTTTGTATGTGTTATGTTTGTAAAGAGGATAGAGAAAGAGAAGATGGTACATGGGTGTGTGGGTAACCACTACCGTAATTCTTCGCACAGTCGATCTTCACACAAATCTTTTGTATTAAAAACACATGTATAGAGTTGCAAATTAAAACTTTCACTTCGCGAGCTTGATTTTGTTTCAACTTTTAAATGTCAGTGGAACACGTTGTGCTTAAAAATAGGAACATTGAGGAAATAGCTTTTGTGTTTGAAAGGTCAACTTTTTGAAATAAGCACAGTATTTATTTACGAACGCAAAAACTGATATCGAACTCATTACTACACATGTTTTTAATTCAAGAAGATAATTATGTACGTGCACCACTAAATATCTACCCTGTTAATATTGTATTGAAATTTTTTATTTCTTACCGTCTTAATCATTGTGCTGATAATGAAAATGTCCGTTAAAATATTTAAAATAAAATTTTATTCGCAAACACGATAAATCTTCATTAGTTTTCGACGTATTGTCGTTTAGAAGTGACACGTTTGCCAAGCTTCACGTTCACTTTTATAGCGCCTCCTTTCCAATCCATTGCGTAATGGCATCTATCCACTTTGCTGAAACGAGATGTAAAATTTGTTTTGTGCATCTGTCCATTTCTTTCGTTGTTCTCTACCTTTATACCATCAACCTGTGTATTACTTAAATATAATTCATTACATAATTTTTATTGTTATTTTGATTTGTACTTACTATTATTGCGTCGGAGGAAACAAACCATATTACACATTATCGATGATCATCTCTATTAGGGGTATACGAGTATTGCCACACTCGTCATTAGAGTTACGAAGACAATCGTGAACGCATCTTTCGCATTTCTCATATATATATATATATATATATATATATATATATATATATATATATATAGATGTAAGGGTGGTCATTAATATGGATATTTTGAATTTTTTGCTCTAAAAGCCTCAAATGCCTCCAAAACGATAAAAAAAATTCTCTGAAAGTTTTAGCTTTAAGATCGTCCGCACTTCAACCAAAGTTTCTTATGAAATAATATGCGTAAAATTCCATTTGTTTTTTCAGAATTTTATAACTTAGCGACAATTTTTTTTTGCCGATCGAAATATTATAATTTTTTAGACAATATGCTGGGTGTAAATGCATTTAAAGAGTTTATTTCCTAAGAGAAATCTCTTTTTTTTTGACATTTTATTTTAGATCGTATGGCCATTTTTTTTTCAATCTTCGAGTAGGAGATTCCTCACTTAATTCTTTTAAATATTTGTTTGAGTGACCTGGTAATTTTTCGTGGTATTTATTGGTTCTTTTATCGACAAGTGTATTAAAATTTTGAGAATAACATTGTATTTGCATATTTTGATCATAAATACAAAATTTACAACAAAAATTTCATATATTTTATAAAATAGAATATATAAGAACTAAGATCTCAGGATCAACCAATTTGAATGATTCCGAAAACATTGGATTTGGGTTAATGGGAAGTCGTACTGATTAGTTTTTGAAAAAGGCAGATCTAGCGATTTCGGAGATACGGGACAAAAAGCGCCAAGAATAGCAAGTCAGTTTTTGAGAGAACAGACCGTCCGAATTGTTTTATTTTTAAAAAATTTCACATTACGGTACAGAAAGCTCAAGCAATTTGCCTTAAGGCACCATGCCATATGCATCACTATATGTATATTTATAAAAATAGTAATTCTTGAATAAATAACATTTTCAACATAAGGAGTCATATTATCCTAAAGTAACCTACACGTAATGCACATATATTGCATATCATTTACTATCATTTTTTGTAAGATATTTAATTTACAATACAATACAATGCATTGATAATCTGTCAATTTAAAGCTAACTTACTATGTAATAATTTAATTTATATTCATCGGCAAAAATAATAAATGATGTGAAACAACTAAAAAATATATTCAAAAGTACCAGATTAGGTTAATAAGGGTTGCTTGCTCGACAGTGAGAAAGTTTTGGTGAAACTACTTCATATATAATTTCAAAAAAATCACTAAAAAAAATATATATAGAGTAGAGCGGGGCTTAATGGTCCGCGTGTAAAAAGGTCCACCACCGATATCTCAAAAACAAGTAAGTTAAGGATTTTTTTAAACAACAATATTTGAAAGTACAAGGAAAAAGTGTATGAAAAGCCATCACCTTGATCCTTAAGACGTCGCTATCGGGTGATAAACGGCAATGTTTAGAAATCCATAACAAAAGTATTTTCTTTCGTTGGTCTTTTGGCTGTGAGCACTGTTATTTAGTTTACGAAACCTTAATTTTATGTTTAAGTATACGTTATTTAATTGTTTTCTAAGATGTATTGTTAATTTTAAGTTAGATTCAACAGTTTTTTCAATTCAATTAAAAATACTAATTTTATAACAAATAAAATAAATTAATAGTTATTCCAACTCCATTGATAAATATTTCAAATATAAAAATTTCAGATCAATGTTATATATAGTGTAGTTATCTCTGTAAAAATGTACCCATAAAATTTATATTTTGCATTGGTTGAAAAATATACTATAGCTATTATTTTGCAAAATCTCTTTTAAATTAAAAATAAGATACTGGACCCATTGCCCCCTCCTGGCCATCCCATTTTAACCCGACTGTGGGGTGAAAAGAATAGGTGACAAATTTTTGAAAATAGGCAAAAATACATTTCTAAAATAATTTATTAGCTAGAAGTTTTACTGAGCATAGTCAGATAATTTCTGATTTCATACGTATTATTTGTTATAATTTGATATAATAATTAGTTTGGCTTTCACAATATAATTGCGCAAAGTCATATTAGGGCGGGTCAATTTATAGGGGACGGTAAAAATAGCTTAGGCATATATGATTTTCGGATTCTAGGGATTAAAATAAAAAACATTGCTCAAGATTATATACCTCTAAAATGAATTCTGATGTCCTGTGGATCGATTCAAAGAATTGAATTTTGAAAAATACCGTTTTGACCAATTAAGACTGCCGTAGACCACATACGTATCATATATATATGTAGCATAACAAATTAAAAATTATTATTATTTATTATAATATTTAACCAGATAGATATGATAATAATAAAAAATAATTCTGACGGGGTTCTTTATCAATAATAACAATCACAAACTCAAAAAAGGGTTTCTTTATCAATAATAACAAAATTAATTTATATGTATAATTATGAAATGGATTTTTAGCAAATGTAGAGTATAATTATATAATAGGATAAATGATGTCAAATCGAAAGCCAATAAAAAACTGCCTAAATCATTATTTATCTTTCAGTTCATTATTTCATTTTATTCAATAGCTTTTTTCTTCATTAAACAATGTCTTTAATTAAATTTGTGTGTGTTTTTTCCCGGATTGAATTTGTTAACGTGCTGAATGATAACAGACATATAGTGTCGAAACGTACATAATAAATAGTTAATTATTTATTGCATTTTATTTTGACTATTATATAAATAGTATATAATATTAAAATAGTATTATTATATATATATATATAAATGATGTGTGTGTGTGTGTCTTTTATATCAGTGTATGATAATTTGATTGCAATTGATTATCGTTCTTAATTTTTTTCTCAGAAAACTGACAAAACGATTTGTAATATTCATTGCATGACTTCTACACACAACTTTTCTTCTTCACATCGATAAACTCGTTGCTCTTATATGACGAAATTAAAGGTTTTGGCGTTTTTGTTTGTAAATGTCAATCCAGAGAATATAAATTAAGATACAAATTTGCATTTACGACATGAACTCTTCTTATTATCTGAGATGTAAGAAAAAAAAGTATTAAATTGAAGTAGCCGATAGGAAACTTTAAATTTACCTAATTTAAGTAATTAAACTAATTGGTACTTTTGAGCGGTTAAAATTTGCGAAAAAATTAATTGGGATTTATAATTATAAATCCAAATTTTTATTGATATCTTAAATGACAACATTTTTTGGCATGTGTTGGACGTTTAATAGGACAAATCTTTTTTTGAGTATGGAAATCTGAACACCTCTTTTATGATTAAAAAAAAAAACACAGCATTAGTGGTTTAAGCATTTTCGCACAAAAAGCGAATGAAACATAAAAGTTCACTACATGACATATAACACTGCCAATAATTTTGCAAATTATTAATGTACATAATTCTCATTTTTGCGGTTTTGCAACTTCATATTTTCGTAGTCGACATAAATTTATTTCTATAATTGCGTTTCAAGATGCGACTGCGAAATTGTCGTATATAATATACACAAATATATAATTCATAAAATATATATATATATATATATATATATATATCGAATATTTTTATCTATATATAATTCACAAAAATTTGAGAAATTTTTATCACTTTTATTGAAATCCAAGCGTTAATTCTTTCTGCAAATATTTTCACGTAACCGAAAAATAAACAAACGCATTGAAAATAGTGGAAGTCATATAATGAACAAACATTAATGTATTATATATATATATATATATATATATATAATATATATATATATATATATATATATATATATATAAATAGGGGAGCTAAAAGCTGGTTTTAACAGTTTTTTCTAATTAATAGATCTTGAGATCCACTGATTATATTTCTACGAAATAAAGATGGATAGTTGCTGTAACTATTCCTCTACCTAATCAAGCAAAATAATTCTAAAACTGTTATTCATTAATTCACAATTAAATGTTTTCTAGAAAAAGTGCGATGCTGCAACTTACTCCGTGCTAGTTGTAATGTCTACTTTCTACTAAGTCTAGTAGTAACAACAAAAAATGCAATAATACCCCGGACAATTTATTCCTTACTTATTTTTAAGAAAATTGACTTGTTTCTGAGTATTTCTTTTCACAAATCAGCGCTTAATTAATACAAATAAAATATAAAGTCTCCTTTGATATAATTTTTTATCATAAATTAACGTAAACTACAATTAATATCATAATACAAATAAAAGGTATAGTGTCTCCTGTAACATATTTCACAAATTATACGTTCCATTCAATCTGCTTCACTTGAATCTGTATATAATTCTTGAATGCTACAACAAGCCCCAAGATTTTGTTTCAACTAACCCCAGGTGTGATCTTTTTACATTGATCAAGATAACTATTTATACAATTTAGCAATCACAAAAATTGTTACACATGATTCAAGATTAATGCATTTGCAACAAATTAACATATATAAAATTTAAAATTAGTCGGTAATAATAACGCAAAACAAAATTTCATAATTAGATCAATTTTATATTACATGTCAAAAATGACGGACCTGCACAGTTCTGTTTATTGCGTCGGATGCGGACAATATTATGCAGGACGGTTCAGGGGGCGTCCATTAATCACGTGATCGATTTTTTAGGGATTTTTGGAGCCCCTTCCCCCTTGATGATACGTCGTGATATTTAAAATTACTTTCCTCCCCCACCGAGAATTACGTGT